TTATCTTTGTTTTAAGTCCGCAAATGTTCAAAGCTGTAGATTGTTTAAAGGTGCTGAATTAAATAAGACATCAGCTGTTCAATAAAAACAATCAAATCGTTGGCTACATGTAGAATAGTGTGATGCCAAATCCAATAATTAACTAATTCGTATGATTGGCAATTTGTAAATACTGTGTTTTGTTTTGCTTCTTCAGGGCATTTCCCCTTTTACCATTTCTTTTAAATACACCAACATAATGACGACCAGTTAAAAGAAAGGATGATGATTTGCATTTATAGGGCGATTAAATTCCTCAGCGTTTCAATGGACCTTACATCACGTCTCTTATGATATACTGCCTTTAGCTGTACATGAAGAGGCAGTATTTTAATCACTACTGGTATTGGTAACGGTCTGAACAATGTTTTTTTTGTTGGTATGCTGTGAGTCGTTTCGAATCGACCCCATCACCAAACACATAAATTACATAATAAATTATTGCACAAGCAATCAATATCTGGTGAAGGAATCTATGTTGTGTGTGCATTAGCTCCTGAAACAATGCATCCTATTTGTTAAATAAAACGAATGAATCACAAATTGAGTTGTAACAAAAAAATATACAGTTCACATTTTTACAGCATTCATTTTAATACATTCGCCATAACATAATCATGTAATGCGACAATCATAATAGATCAATAAGGTTATAAAATAAATAATGCTGGCATGCTGTAAAGCAAAGTCTTTCTGCTGTCCTTGGAGGCTGTGTTGCTCCGGCAGCGATTTCGATAATTGACATTTGAATGTCATGCATGACCATGCACTTTATTGCGGATTGGTGTGGAAAACCGTGGAAGTTTTTTTTTTTTACAAATGGAAGATTCTAAGCGGCTAGAGTTTGTCTAGCCATGATTGTAACTTGGTTTGCAGATAAAATGTACTATTACAAGTATATAATTTTTCGCCGTGTGTACATTTTTTCAATTCATTAAAAGGGACATCCAAAAAAATTGTAGATAAAGATGTGATCATGGCCAAAGCCGCCGACGATGCCACCACAAAACCTCGTCAACGCTTTCTACCCTCTGCGAGATTCCCGCAGCTGCTCCCCACATGAGACACGTGACCTCCAAAATCCGGCCTCATGCTATTCTCACCATCTGGTCTTGCGCCTTCCACTTGGTTGACAGATTCGTGGAGACCACTTTGACCTGCCCCCTCCTTCTGCACACATCCTAACCGCCGGCATGGTGGTTTATATTTAGACTGATTACATCAAAGCACTGATTTGGGGGGGGGGGGGAATGGTTGTGCGGGGTGGGACATGCATTAAATTATGAATGTTAATATTTTCTGAATTTAGAAATTTGAGCGAGAAGTGTCAAAAAAAAGTTGTGTTATCACTGCAGAATTAGAATGCATAAATTATAGGATTATGCATTATTCGTGATATGGTTTTAACATAAAACATATAACTCTGATTGAGATGAATGATATTGATGTAATCACAAAATAACTATAAAACATTCTACTATTTACCACTGTTAACTACGATCTCATTACAATTTTTTTAATTTACATTTTAAAACGCTATTACGGCAGCATTGATTTATAATACATTCAATTCACCCCAAAACAGTGCATATAAAAAATGTGAAATATCCATGATCTACATTGCTATATTATAAATAATAATCACTTCTGTAGCATTCATCAACTCATGGCTTAAGCGATCAAATGCGTTATATTTCAAAGATGCTAGTTCTCAATATTTCTCGTTTAATGGCTTCTTTCAGATTTTAAATCAGTTTCTTCTCCTAGAAATGTCAAAAGTGTTGATGTTAAATAATCAACGTGCATTGGCACAGAGGTCATGCGAAAAAGTGTAAATGAGTTAAGTTATTATTCATCCATCTCTATGCATACAAACTTTATATTTACACCCATTTAATTGTAGAGAGAAGGGAAACACAAATCTTTCAGAAACATAAAAGGTCGGTATTCCAATTGCCTCTCATGCCACGTGGGCAATCCCTACATATAATGAATAGGAATCTTTATTTAGACTGAAGCTCTTTTTCACACATATATACCATACAACAGATGCACACTTTCAGGGGGAGGGGTGACATCGTGGTCAACACACAGCACTCTGTAACCGAACTAAGTTTGATTCCCAGCCATGGCTAACATCAATGGAAAACTGATATATGAACCGGTCCCAGCCAAACCAATTCACCAACCCGCAGTGAGAAATGCTGCGAGGCACGGTCAAACAAATCCCCATGACCGACGTAACATGCGCAGGCCTTAATCCAGTAAGGGATTAACAGAGCAAGGGGCATTATTTAATTTAAAAAATAAGTAGGCTATTAGCCTATCATTAAATCTGGTGAAGTTTTAATTGACAAGCACCTCGGGATTCAACAATACGGGCTTTACGTTGTCCGCAAAGAAATCAATACACAAAGGCGAGTATCTTGTGGTTGCCATCGTCAATCCAATGAGGAATCTCAGCAACATGGTTTATTGTGGCAGCATTTTTAAATCTTTTATATTAAGTTCACTTGCTTGCTTGCTTGCGCGCTTACGACCGTGCAAATATTTAGGTCGTTTTTTAACCCACTTCCCGTCATCCAATCGAGCTGACATTTTGCACACAGACTCGTTGTGCGTGACAATTTATTTTCGTGAAAACATTTTTCCAAAATTTTACACTTTTTAGGAATTTTTATTTATTTAATTACCAATTGCTTAATGGTGGCAGGCAATCATCTGACCGATAGGTGGCAGCCATCTCAAGCCAGAGGACGAGAGGACTCTAGCCGCCACGCATATAAAGGATTTATAGTGAAAAAGTTTGTTTTTACGGGTTACATTTTTTTTACTAACCCAATAATGACCCTAATGCACGGTATGCACTGCATTGCAACAAATTACTTTTCATAGAGGCGCTTTGACACGTTTATTGCTCACTGCAGATGCATGCGCACACGTGATTATTTGCTGGAAAAAAAGAAATCGCGGGGTGACCTGATCTGAATGGCAACAGAAATCCATTCTAGAAAATAAAATCAGCAACTTAAAAACACAAAACACACCCATCGCTGGGTAGAAGCTGCTGGAACACACATTAGAATGCTTTGACAGCAGGAAAGATGATATAGGGTAGCCTTCATCACTCCCAAAGCTCCCGATGCAGCAATTGAGAGAGAGTTCAGACTGCAGCTTGTATGACAACATTAATCATAGCCGTGCAGTTTGCTGTTCAGTGGCCACCTTTTTTCTAACTCGCATCGTGAAATTATCAGGAACTTTTTTGTACAGCATGTATTTTATAGCCACCTGAATAATCTGACATTTGGATGTAGACAGGGCTTAATTTCGAATGTAATAAAAACCTCAACACCCCCCACCCCGCCAATACTCAGGATGGAAGAGGGGGCAGTGGTGGTGGGGGGGGATGAGAGATATTTTCTGGAGACACACAGCTCCAGACGAAATCAAGCCTTGGATGTAGATGGCAAATGTGTTCCATACATTGCGATGGCTACACACCCAGCAAATGTGCAACGACACATTGATCTCATTGCCTTTATGCATGCAAATGAAAATCATGGTTTAGTATCCACCCTCCCCCCCTCCCCAATTTTATTCTGAGTGTTTTATCAGCATCATGTCATGAGATGAAAAAAAACCCATTCGCAGACGCAGAGCACCACAACCTGCCTATGTACGAGCACATTTCACGGAATATACCACAAATCTAATCCTTGAGATTCCCTTCAAAGCCATCATTTATCCATGAATTCTTACCCTCCCTGCTCCACAGTAATGTTTGTCGCATGACAGTCAAACCGAAACGTTTAATTTTCAGTGCTGACATTTATTCAAATTAACTGCAGAAGCAAAGAGGAAATGGCTTTTCGTGTAGTTTATTGGTGACCAGGCTATGGCCATTAAATGACTACAATTGTGGGGCCCTATTTAATGATGTGCAGCTGTCCGGAACTTAGGACCTCAAACGGTGACGAATCAGTGCTCCGACTTCTGAGCCAAACAGCCCCCTCTACAATAGCCATGTAATTTAATGCTCTGACCACCAACATACACAGCAAGCTCAGCGATGCCACTCAAGTACAGTACACCCAGTGCTCTGTGCACATCGTTGCAAACTCAAGTTAATTCAGCGTGGCAGCATGTGATCGCACTCACCTTTAAGATAATGTTAAATAGAAGTAAAATCGATTTGCGGTTCAATTTTTGTAAGTAAATTTCATACCTCGAAAGTGGTCAAGCCACTTGAAAGATAGTTTCAAGATGCACAAAGGCAAGTGAATCTATTTGGCGAAAAACAAATGCAAAATTCCACATCATAGCTTGATGAGTTGTACTGTATATATTGAAACATTTAAATTATTTGTACTTTCGGTAAGATTGAATTAACTTGATTGCGTGGCACATGTAAGCGACAGGTTTAAGAGCAATGTGAGCAGACTTGTAGAAACTTGCATCGTACAGGAAACAAAGACCACTTGCTCCACTGGCACATCCGAGCAGAGCCAGCACAAAGACCCCCTCGTGGTTTTCCACTGGATATTTATGTCATGCCAAGCCAGAACCAAACCACGGCTACGCTGGCCTCACAAGACATCCGAATCTGGCTCGAAGCCAATAAGCCAAACAAGGCCAGGGCCGGTGCTAATGACGGGTTCATTTCACGTAGCGTCGGTCAGTGTAACTCAAATACTGAGGCAACCTACATGGCTCTCCACTCGTTCATGGCATGTGATGTCAGTGGCACGGCTTGGGGATTTGAAGTAAGGAAGAACAACCTACGGCTACCTGAGCTACACCAAAGTTGAATTTTTTTGTGGGCCCTAGCAAGGCTCGGTTGTGCAGTGGCAGAGTTTATCGCAAATGGCTGCAATTCTGTACAGCAATGCCTGCTACTACTACTACATTGGCATGACAGTGAAATACTGTGTGGAAGGACAAGTAACAAAAATAAACCTCCCGCCACATTCGTCAATAACACCGTGGCCTTTAAAAGGATGACGAAAAAACAAGGCAACATTTCCGCCGATGGCTCCTTTATTCATAGCGCACAAACGAATGTGTCGGTTTTGCAACAAGTCATTTATGCACGAGATTTTGTCGTAATGCTGGTGGTTAATAGTTGCACTAAAGGTCGTCACCACTGGGTGGCAAACAGAGCGTTGACAAGAAGTTGCGAATGCGTGAATTTAGCGGGGCACGTGGCCATAATTATGCACTGCACTGAAGATAATTCAGCAATGCTGTTGTGGTACGATGTTATTGCTCGGTAAAAAAGAGGCACAGGACACGCTTGACTGGTCCGCTCTCCGTCAGTGATATTGGTTAAGTATAGATCCACCGATGCAGTTTTTTTGTTACAAACACCACTGTAGTTTTGTTGCAAAGGATGAAAATGTACCATTCATTAGAGTTATCAGATGATTTAATGATACGATTATTCTATTGTTCATTTTTATCGCGCAGTTAATGGGATGACTCAAACATTGTTGGAAGAAAAAGCCCTCATCACCGTTTCCACGTCTGATTTTGGAAAGGGAGGTGATGGGCGGGGGGGTGATGTCATTAGCATCAGCAGACTTACGTACCTGTCAACCCCTCATCAGTGCCTACCTTATTACAGACTAATTCCAACTTTATTGGTCACCCCGTTCCCTTATAAATCTCAACGTTCATCCTCCAAAGTCCCATCACAAGGGAGAACACAAACAAATTGACACCAAAAAACATTTGCCCGTATTGAAACGGCTCAATTTTCCTGTACAAGAATACGGGTAAACCATATGGGTTGACAGGTATGGCCTCATCAAGCTACGTGTGGCTTTCAGGGGGTTTCTCGCCTGACAAATGCAGCCACGAGTTATAAAGGTGCCCGAATAATCGACCACAACATCATTCGTTTCAAATGTTTTGTCGATTAATTAATACCATCAACTAATAATCCCACCTCTACTGGTGACCAATATTGGAAAATACTATACGGTACTCGAACAATATGGTTTCGATGCATGAAATGAAATGCATTTCCTTACCATATTCAAAAATGAGCCAATGGACATGAGATTGCAGCCAATTAACTGTTGATATCCTTTAATATCCTTTACCAAAGATTAATATAGATTTTTAAAAAAATGCGTATTTATAATTGAATTTCAACACAAACGCGGCACCAGTTTAATTTATGAACTTGTTTTGTTCGGTCCAGACTTAGGCTTGACGATTCATCCGGGTCGACTTACATCCATCGCTTGGTGACCCAACATAGGTGACCCAACATAGGTGACCCAACATAGGTGACCCAACATAGGTGACCCAACATAGGTGACCCAACATAGGTGGCCCAACATAGGTGACCCAACATAGGTGACCCAACATAGGTGACCCAACATAGGTGACCCAACATAGGTGACCCAACATAGGTGACCCAACATAGGTGACCCAACATAGGTGACCCAACATAGGTCACCCAACATAGGTGACCCAACATAGGTGACCCAACATAGGTGACCCAACATAGGTGACCCAACATAGGTGACCCAACATAACTAGATAAGGTATATCAATTCTAGATTTGAAGCTTTCGTGACTGCAAGGATTCATATTCTTAGGTTTTTTCGGTAAAGTCACGTAGGTACCTAGTCACGTAGGTACCTACCAAAAAAACCTAAGAATAAGGTATATCAACTTTGATCATGTGACGCAGAGCGCCGCACTGCGCTGAAGGTCACTCCACTCGTTACCTGAGTTGACCTGAAGGACGACCGCAGTCGCCTCTGCACCAGCCACATTCTCGGCCCTCGCGATGTAAACTCCGGCGTCGGTGACTGTGGCCTTCACTATTAGCAGGCAGTGTCGATCTTCACAACACCCGAGCTCTGTGTTTTGATTAGAATTTAACAATTGTCCATTCCGGAGCCTGCAATGAGGAACAAACAAACAAACAAAAACACAGAGAATGTGACAATGTATAACACACGGTAGGGTGAAGATAACAAGGCCTTTAAGGTCAAATGGGGACTTTTTCGGGCAGTCTTCGCAAGCACTTGACATTTTAGCAACTGTTGCCACGCTATTTTCTATTGTAAAAAAAAAAGCTTTTGCCAAATTTGTATATATATTTTTTAATTACATTTGCTGACCCAAGGAGCCTAAAAACCAAAGGGACCAGCAACAAACAGCGCTATTCAAGGTGTAACAGTGTTCTTCATTGCAAGGCCCACGGGCCAACTGGTGTCAAGACTAGAGGCTCATTGAAAACAGGGGGTTGGGTTCCGTCGCCGCGGTTAACACTGTCATCATCCAAGCCTAACGACGCATCCTATACATTCAGTAAAAGTGAGAAACGTGTACAGTATTGTATAACATTAAAAAAAATCTCTAGTATTAATAGTGAACAAAAACTGTTTAATAATTATACTGTAGTGAAATCCAGATATCGGTGTCAGTGACGATGATGGTGATGTTTGGGGAGGGAGTTGGGCTTGCCTATCGGCATGAGCGGCTGTACTCTATCCTCAGAAAGTTTTCTCTTTAAAGACAAACCTCTCCTTGCCCTCTTCACACTACGCTCACATTCACCGCCAGCTCGACGCTTATGTGGGCCCTGATTAAGGGCAAAACAAACCACGAGTAGTGGTGCGGTATTGTACAGTGATCACGGTACACTTTCACGGGGTATAAATTGCAGCACTTCTAGGCTCTGACGACTGCTGCATCAACTGAATGACGTGGTAGATTAAGCTAGTGCGGGGCCTGTAGCATATGTTATAAAGGGGCCCTAAACATATAAATATAAAAACACACATTTTTCACGTGCATAGTAAAGTAATTGGATTTTTTAATTTGCTACACAGCCAGATAATACGACAAATCGCTAACCTTAAACACCCAGTCGTTCGTAAAAGTTGAAGGCGGTATAGTACTATAGTAATAGAGCAAGTGCAGAATCACTGAAAGCATTTAGCGCGGGGCCCTTGAAAGTGCGGAGCCCGTAACATATGTGGCTACTTTTGCTTCTACGATAATATAATCCGGCACTGGGTACAAGTATTTGTACGCGGGGTACGCGTATTGGTGGGTGCCACGGCGCTTGATGCTTGAACACGGCCGGTGATTTGAAATCATGGGCAGCGTGAAATCCAAAACAGTGGTTACGCGAAACAGTGTTATAGCGTACCGTGGTTGTGGGAGAGGGGAAAACACGGTATGCGCAATAATTATACGTGGATACTCGAAACCGTGGTTGGAAAAAACCATGGTTGACGTGGGATTGCTCTATGCCAGGGGTCGGGAACCTTTTTGACTGGGAGAGCCATAAAAGCCAAATATTTCTAAATATATTTCATTGAGAGCCATATAGTATTTTTAACGTATAATAAATTAAATATGTCTTACTTTTAATGCGACTTCTGGTCACGGGATCCGTGACCCGAGAAATTTTATCTTCAAAACTAATTTCTGTTTACTTTAAAATGACACAGTATTATTAAGCAATATCACAAGTATTTTAAAATCAGTTCCAAACTGATTTTTTTATTATTATTTTTTTTTCAACTCAAAATTGTCTGGGAGCCATATGCCGTCACCGGAAGAGCCATATATGGCTCGCGAGCCATAGGTTCCCGACCGCTGCTCTACGCGAATGTGAAAACACCCCCCCATAGTCGCGCCGTCTAACCCCAATGGTTTCAAACGTGTGTGGTTGGTCCTCACCACTCCCGATGTCTTATCGGCTGAAAAGTGAAGGGCACTCGTGTAATAGATAACAGCTTCTTGACTTGAACAAGATTACAAAAATGTATAATAGGTGTTTTTGCTGTTGGTTAGACCACGTACTGTATTGACCTGACCAAATCTGTGTCATCAAAACCCTCCACCACCCGACGCAGACAGTGAAAAATAATTGTCTTGCACGCGAATGGTTAACAGCGCCCCAATTAATTATTGTTTGCAGCTCCCTGGTAATTTGGACATCAATCTGACCACCAAATTAAGCAGTTACATACATAAATTTGCATCAAGGCATCATGCCTTATGATGAATGGATTGCAACACATTTAAAATTTGATAAACTCAATATTCATGAACTTTGGTGTTTCGGCTTTTACGACTCATTATAAGAGTACACACAGCTCATAATGTCTCATGCAAATTACTCGGATAGTCTACCAGTCGTGTTGTGGGCTGCTCTGCTATTAACAAACTTGGCACATTTATGAGTTTTATTAATTTGAAGCAACTAACGACTGTCAACGTGGAATTACAAACACTGCACGTGTGTTGCAATGTTGAGCAACTTCCAGTAAAACCAAACGAAAGCTCTAAAACTATGCATGCATGTATGTTGAACGTATGTCGGACTGTACGTAGCCAACCGTGCTAATCGGAGGTGAAGGACAATAAACTAAACACAAAAATCAGTTTTAAAGAAATTCGTTTTCAATCTAGACTTTTTAAAATTGTGTTTGCATTTGACAAAGTCATCCTAAATGCACCTAATCACGTTGGATCTTGGAAGGTATTTTGGAGCCTGGTTCGTACAGGGACTCCTCTACTTATAAATATTCGACTTCCGAACTTTCAGAGATACGAACAAACCTGTGCGTTTGTCCAGTTGCCTGTTCGGAACCAGAGTCGTAAGTTTAACCGCCGCACAATAGATGGCGGTGGTGGCATCTACATCTGCGGAACGTGAAGAACCAGTGGCATCTACATCTACACGAGGATATACAACTTTTAAAGCCATTCCCCGTCTTTAGTGTACATGCCGCACAGCACATGTTTGGACTTTGGAATCGATAGGAGTAAAAGTTGGACTTACGAACAGTTCGACTTACGAACAGACCTCTGAAACCTAACTCGTTCGTAAGTAGAGGATTCCCTGTACTTGGACAGGTGCCACCAGGGCTTTGCCAGGTGTTGAAAAGTGGTGATTAGATGGCAGTGTTGAGTGTTACACATCGCGAACGTGTGGTTTTTTTTTTTCTCCCGTGGTTGCCCACCCACATTAAGCCACACACTCGTTTAATGGAACTGGCCAAACAATTCCAATACGAGACCCTGCTGAATGAATCCGTGTGAGGCTTTCCTGGGTAAATCACTAGCTATATACATCTACAGAAAAGTTTTTATTGTTTGTTGTTGTTACTTTGTGACCCGCCTCTACTGGATATCTGTGAAAAAGAGCTTCATAGCTCATCGGATTTCTCCAGGATAAATACATATTCTGATTCAGAAGTTTAATCACGCTCTATTAAATGTAATATCCTCTTGATTAAAAAAGAAAAGCGTTTACATGTGCTTGAGTAAAAACAGTCATCGTATCATAGCAAAAGCTGGATATAGGCACAATTCTCATAAACACAACACATCCATATATTACACTGGTGGGAGGAAGGCAAAGGGTAACTTCTGATAGAAGCACACTTCGTATATAATCACAATCTGGTAAAACTCCCAAGAGATGTGCTTATATCCAGCGTCTACTTTAACAATAATGTGCATGACTGTGAGAAGCACATTGACAAACGGTACCAAATGCGCCTGTGTGTCACCCACCAAACCACGGTGGGCTCAGGGCTGCCTCCAACAGTCACCTCCACGGTTACCGGCGATCCCTCAATAAACTCGGCACTGGCGAGCGGCTGAGTGAAACGCGACGGCTGACCAGCCAGCTGGCACCAGGAGCGAGGTGTCAGCGCCAGCTGCGTCTCCTCCCTGACAAGGCCCCGCTCAGAGCAGCCGTCGTATCCTCGTGTGGAGCCAAGTGCCGGACGTGGCGAAGCTTCGGGCACTGCGGGTAGCAGAGGTCCACAGGGCCCGACGGGGATTTTGTTGAACGTAACCAGTTTAACGAAAGAAAAGTAAGGGCACTTAAAATTCGTCGCGCGTGAATCTTTCCCAAAGTCAATTGAGCTGGGCGCTGCTCGGACGCCAAGATTTAATGCGACTTGGCCGTTGTCCATCGCAAACGGGCCAGCGGCACGTGCAGGAGCCTCAGCTTGAGCGTGGCTCTCAACAGAGCGAGAACGGGCATAACCACAGATGTGAGACGTGCACTCGAAATCTCTGCTGAAAACCGGCTCGTATTCGCACACGCAATGGTCAACGGTGCGCGACGACGACACGGGCCGTTCGATGCCACTGCCATCGTGCATTTGTGCACGCCGTCGCGCCATGCCGTTGTCATTTTTCTGCCACTCTTGTGTGCAATGGCCATCCTCGATCGCTTTTTCACTGCGAGACGTGCGAGCCTCTGGGCTGCCATGCGCACGCGAGGCAAGCGCTGCTTTCGAAGACGAACACGCTTGACCGTCCAACAATTTGGAGCGCCCGCTCTCTGGGTAAACAGCTGATGTGCACGATTTGCCATTTTTCAGGTGATGTTCCTTCTGGAAACAAAAGGGTCAATAAAATCATTAATAAAAACAAGTGAAACGAAACATTACTTCCTAAAACCATATGCACACGTGTTTGCACCACTTATTTGAAAAAAATCAACATATGTGTATTGTGTTGATTTTTTTTAAGGGTGGATTGCGTAATATTTTTTTACAGCCCTTTATCAAACCACTTCTGGATGAAGGCCTCCCCAAGTTGTAAAAGGGGGTTATTTTGACCCGGACTGGTCAGTGCGCATTGTGAAGGGGGGTGGGGGGGGACCCAGGACCAGTTCAGATATCACTCAGCGCGAACGTTAGCCATAACCAGGTATCGAACTCAGGCGACATGGGTTCGTAGCACAGAATGTGGTGCCACTTCTGACAGGACTCCATTCAATATAAACAATTTAATGTTTACCTTCTGAATGTGTAATACCTTTGGAATAATACGTAATAAAAAAATGTTTTGATCAGTAAAACGTACCTGCCCTTCCTCCTTGGGAGAATCTTCACCATCATATTTTGAATTACTACCCAATAGTGATGAAGTGGATGCATTCTCAGAAGACAGTTTAACGCTCTGCTTCTCATCTTGGCCAGACATTCTATTTGCTGAAATTTCCAAAGGATCTTTCAAGCCTGAAAATAAATCACTTTGTCTTGATGTTTCATCTTCAGAGGGACGTTTTTTAAAATTGTTTTCTTTTATATCGGCTACTGTCTCCCTGAGTGCATGTCCCACAGTGCTTGGATTTGCTTCCGAAGCAGGATTCTCCGAATGTTCCTTTATTTCTTTCCCCTAAAAAAACATCAATATGAGACTAAACGTTAACACATACTCATGCTCATGAAACCACCAATTGAGTTTGTTGCATTTTAAAATGTCAACATCACTCTTCACAAACATTCAGTGTTTACTGAACAATGTTTACAGAGACGTCCATTCAGTCATTGGAACCGGTAAAGGTGCACCCCTGCAATTACTTTCTCATGTCACCTCTGATAGAATGGCTTCCACTAAAAAAAGCTCTGGAAAGCTGCCCAGGAGGGTATTTTGCTTTACTTTTAAATGCTGGCCAGACATTTTAGAATAGGTCGGAGTACCCACCAGTGAACCGCACCGCAAACAACCTGTTAATTGGGGCTCCACGATGGCGAGATGTTAACTACCTCGCCTGGTATACAGGATGGTTGTGGGTTCGATCCCATGTTCTCACATTTCTAAAATAAGCCATTTCCATTGGGCTATCATTTGTGGCCAGGCCACTTCTAAAAAAAACACATATAGCTCTGTGGGCCTTACCTGGTAAAATAAAAAAATTAGTTTGTTTTTTTATTGAGTTAACATGGTATACCAATTTATACCACTGAGTCGACTGAGATGGGGGTATTTAACCCTTTCCCGTTCCGAGATGTCTACAAGTTTGCAGGATGAGTCCCATTGACCGCTGAATCTCGGGAGGTGAAAGCGGTTCAGAATTAATTTTATTTAGAGAGGCATAGCACCTTTGTTTTTAAAGACATCATACTCACCGCTGAGATCCATAGCGACACGGCCACATCCTATAATAGCAGGGGGCAAATTGTGCCGTAAAACCTTTCCCCATGGCCTTGTGGGAGCCTCGATACGGATAAAATATTGTTTTTAAGTGACTTTATCTTAACTAATAACATACACGTACGTCATCGGAATGGGAAATGGTTAAGAAACTTTCCAATTTTTCAACTGCAGTGCCACGAGACTGAACCAGTGACCTCTGCATAGCAAGCCAAGTGGGCTAACCATTCCACCATGGCATCAGCATCCCTCAGTTAATTATCTGATACAAAAAATAATAATGTATCGTTATGCAATTTGTTTACAAAGAGGTTTTGCCCTTTCAATTAATGGAGGACTTAAATAATGTAGGCAAATAATCTGACCATATATTTATGTTCATTTGATTCCATGCAGAAATTGAGGTTAAATGCTATCCCTGATTAGGATATTTTTTAGGTAACTTAAAAAGTTCAAACCGAAATATGCATTTCCCTGAAACAACTGCGCCATCCATCCACATCAAATTGCCATATCGTCATGGAAATTCATGAATGCTCCATCCTAGGTATCCACTCAATTGCAGAAATTTCTCTTTCAATATATTGCATTTGAAAAGTTGTTATCCCTGTCATTTAAACAAAAATTATATTCTCTAGTTTAACACAGCCTTTTGCGACCAATATCACCCATATTATTTTTGGGGTTAGATCGCGTAAATATAAATGTGTTGCTAAACCCTCCACCACCCAACACAGCTGATTAGTAAGGTTTTTCACGTAAACAAAACATGCCAATTCGTTACTAGTACAGTGCACCGGTGTGTTGGAGATCAAATCCACCACAACGTTTACAATCAGAGTACGACGTTTCACCAGTAATTACAACAAGCATCATCAGGCGGATAGCCAGATTCTGACGGGTTCAACGACACAATTATATGCATGCGATGTAAAGCTTTCGTGACTGCAGGGATTCATATTCTTGGTTCTTTAGGTAAAGTCACGTAGAAGGGAAATAATAAAATAATAAAAAATACAACTATTAAATTCTCACGACGTTTCAGCCCCTTTTGCCCACTTCAGCAATTGTTTCTTGCTGTGGTTGTCCCACCTGATGATGGGCGCTTGTGTTGCGCCCGAAACGTCGTGATTTAATATATTTTATTTTCTATCTACGTGACTTTACCGAAAGAACCAAAGAGTATGAATCCCTGCGGTCACGAAAACTTCAAATCTAGATTCACCACACTTATTAGCGAGGGTCAGTGAAGGTTTGAGAGGAGTGGACCGGTTCTGATATCACTTCGCCACTGATGTTAGCCGTGGCCGGGAATCGAACCTGGGCTGCTGGCTTCATAGCACAGTTCGCTAACCACTGTGCCACCGCTTGGCTCTTATTATTTAGCAAAGAATGGCATGACTAAAGCACTTCTAAAACTCTTACGTTGCAACTAATCTGCTAAGAAGTGCAATTTGTGGCCTATCTGTTCCAAAGTTTTGTAATCTCTTTTCCACATTACTGTTCATTTATCACGAGTGGGTGCCACTCTTACTTACATACACCGGAACATACTACTGCCCTACTACTGCCCTCTTGGAACACTTCTGCATGCTGAGCACGTTCCGTGTGGCATGTGTTTAAAGCCTTAAATCACTTCAATCGCCACGGAATGCAAGGTTACAGCAGCCTATATGTTACTTTAACGTCTGACTGGCAAACTATTGGCGTACGTATGTTAAATTTCTTTCGCACCGTACGTAGCCAATTGGAAGTGCGGATATTTATTGCACACATTTGTAAATCTCGATTTAAAGCTTTCGTGACTGCAGGGATTCATCTTCTTGGTTCTTTCGGTAAAGTCACGTAGAAGGAAAATAATAAAATAATAAAAATAAAACATAATAAAATTATTCTCACGACGTTTCGGCCACAACGCAAGCAGCCGTCTTCAGGTGGAGAACAGGTCTGTCAAGTAGACAGTCTGAATGGCACGCCCCAGGCTTGGAGCGACTATTTAAGCTGGGATGGTGGGGCGAAGAGCGCTTTGACAAAATAATTTGCATATCAAGAGGAATTTAGCATATTTATGGAAAATGCAGATATGCGATTAGTACTACTTGTGAAATGCGTAGGTTTGGCGAGGGGTCGAAACGTCGTGAGAATTATTTTATTATATTTTATTTTTATTATTTTATTATTTTCCTTCTACGTGACTTTAACGAAAGAACCAAGAAGATTTGTAAATCTGTTCATGCAGACATGTGCTGCCTAAGCGATGAAGTTAATCCGGTACAATTACGATGTCTAAATGTGCCACGCCAAATCGGCACCGAATGAAATGTATGCAAACATCGATTGATGTTGACGCAATTGCCGAGCACCAGCATTTATCTGGACGTATAACTGTATATAAGGACAACGTTGCCAATACCGACCCAGCCATTCTGTTAGATTACAGACAGCCCAAGTGACTTCATCATTATTACAGTTAAGGAGATGATAATACGAGGCAAAAATACTAACTAATGATACAAATAATGCAGTAATAATCACAGTCGTTTGGCAGGTCGTGTATGGTTGGGTAGAGTGTGGCTACTTCCACCTCTTCCAAGTTGTCTGCCTCGTGTGGAAGAGTAGGCCAAAAGCCTCCGAGTAGAACCCTCTAGAGCGCCCTCTAGTGGAGGCCCTCGCATGGCCGCACATTTAACTTTTACTTTAAAAACGAAATGTTCAAATGTTAACGTTCAGCCGAGTTGTATCCAAATGAAAAGATGTACATGACCTCGTGGGTTCTGATTTTACACGCGGTAAATAAGTTTAATTTAACAGTTCAGAAGACAACAGCACATATTTCACCGCAGCATTCTAATTTAGTCAATTGTAATCTGCTGTCGTTCAATAAAGTACCTCGACACGGGGTTCAAATGTGAAGCACAATATCAAAATAAATGATGGTTTATTATTCTCCGCAATCATCATGGTTTTAAAGTTGTAAGGTCAGCATGTTGATCGATGTAAAATGCACCTTCGTCAGAAGTTTTTCTTCAAGTTCTCTTATTTCATTGCTCGTTTTTCTGATCGACGTCATTATTTCATCGTGTTGGGTCCTGGTTTTCTCGATGTACTTTTTACTTTCCTCAGGGCCTACAGAACATCAGCAGAAAACAATACGCATATAGAAGGTATTTTGTTTGTTGGTCGGTAATAATAATACAATTTATAACACGCGCAATGTTGCCGACCGAAAACGCAAACTCTATTGAGGTGCGTAGCGGAGCTCAGCGTCAGATTCACGTAGCGTGATTCCATGGAGACTCGGTGGTAAAATATCGAGCGGAAGAGATGCACCTTTAGGTTGTTTTTGAGCGTCGAAAATGATTGACCGTTACGGATGTGAATAGGGGGGATGGCGTTCCAGATGACGGGGGGCTGCGACGGAGAAACGACGAAAAGCAATTCCAGTCCTTATCTTGGGAGTTTCGATGAGGTTCTGCCACGCACTGCGAAAGTTCCTACGATGAATTGAAGTGTAAGGGCGTCAGCAGAGAACTTAAGTACGGTGGGTAGGCGGATTTCAGGGCGCAGTAGCAGAGGCAAGCGATCTTGAAGGTAATTCTGGTCGAAATGGGCAGCCAATGAAGGGCACGAAGGGTGGACAAGGGAGTCAGGGTGAGGGTTGCGGGGGCTGTGGACAACTACAGATTAATCCCACTAGTCTACCTTTTATTAAACTAGATTATCAACTATATCAAACTGACAGTCTCAGATCAGTTACTTATGGCTGTTTAAAAAAAAAAAACATCAAAATAAACCATGGCTTTTAACTCAATTTGGCAAATTTAACCCTGAAAATCAATAAATAAAACTACAATTTTGCTTTACTGCCACGTGACCAACATCAGTGCAGCAGGGTTGTGTAGGAACATGTGGCACCGTCGTTGTGAAAGAGATGTCACTTGATGGGATCTCAGAAGTAGTTCCATATCACCATCCACGAGCCATTTTTAAATCCTTTATATTAAGTTCACTTGCTTGCGTGCTTGCTTAGGACCGTGCAAATTTTTGGTCGTTTTTTAACCCACTTCCCGTGATCCAATCGAGCTGACATTTTCCACACAGACTCGTTGTGTGTCACAATTAATTTTGTGAAATTTTTTTTCCAAAATTTTACACTGTTTAGGGAAAACAAATTAAATATTTAATTACCAATTGCTTAATGCTGGCAGACAATCATCTGACCCATAGGTGGCAGCCATCTCAAGCCAGAGGACAAGAGGACTCTAGCCGCCACGCATATAAAGGATTTATAGTGAAAAACTTTGTTTTTACGGGTTTACTTGTTAAACATGGGGCGAGGCACTTCTCTGCAAGTTCACAAATTATATTTCCTCCATGACAGTGATGGCACAAACACACAGCAGGCCAAAACTATACATTAAAAAAAATTGAACTTCGCTTGCCGTAGACACGGAGAGCAAGGTCTTCAATCAAGTGCATCCTCTCCTCCTGTTCAGGAACCGTAGGCCACAGGAACAAGTCGAATTGGCGGCCTAGCATTGCCATGCCCTCGCGGGTCTTGCACTCGGATGAAAACGTCCTCACGCGCGCGATGGTGGACACGGTTTCCTCGCACCAGAAGATACTCTGAAAGAGCAACACAAACACATGATTATGTGATGCTCGATGGTTGGCAATTATACCGCAGAACGAATCACAGGCCTTAAGACCCTTATACCTGGCATAGTACTGGCACAATCATTGTCCTTAACTCGGTGGTACAATTGCACAAATGTGGACAAAGTTCGATACGGTGTTTTAAATTAGTTATTCAAACATGCAAAACTTTCGCGGAAAATGCAGTGATTACGCCGAGAGCGTTTGTTGACGTAATAAAAATAACCACGTGGTTTTTTGCTTCCTAAAAAATCATCAACTTTTAAATGAAAACAACCGCTGGCTCACATCCTTCATGGCGTCCTGAAGTTGGATGGTTAACTCCAAATTGCATCTGTATTCCTCCACAACCCTTTCCAGCTCGGATACATCCTTGTTCAGTTCCACTGTGTCTGCTTTCAACTCCTTCGCCCAGTTCAGCAGTATCTCAGTGCTCTTCTGATTCCACTCCCCCACTTCTCCACCTGGTGCTGAGCACTCCTGTCCCACCAGTTCTCCAGATGCTCCCAGGTTTCCCTCTCGCCCTTCAACTTCATTTACATCGGCAGCGAGATCACGCTCATTCGCTTGAATCCCCTGAGGCTTCATGGTACAGGCCTCGCTCCAATTATTCAGCGTATCCGTCAGTTTTTCTTGGAAACGCTGCCATCGCAATTTAAATGCCTAAAGTTTTGGTAGGAGGGAAGGAAACAGCTTGGTACAAAGAAGAAATTCTCTTTAAATAAATGTTCATATACAAGTAGTTTTGAAAGTGCATGCTGCAGAACAAAGATGTGGTGAACATTAAAATAGTTGCATGAGATAATTATTTGTTTGCTTATTCAGCTTAATGAGAATCAAGACTTTTATTAAACAGATGCTTCTGTATAATTCGTTATACACATAAACAAGTAGAAGTATTAGTTCAGTAACAGGATACAGTCCATTCTCAATCAACTTCTGGATGAAAGCCTCATCATGCTGTCTATCATGGGGAATTTTGACCATACTTCACCACACTGGTCAGTACAGGTTGTTGAAAGGGGATGCGTTCAGATATCACTCGTCACTGATATCAACCTTGGCTGAGTTTCGAACACGAACTGTTAGGTTCATAGCGCAGAGTGGACTTTTGCATATACTTTGTAAAAAAAAGTTTAGTGCGATGCACAGCATTATACCCAGCATTGTTAACCAAACCTTATTTACCGGCAGCTTCTCCATGTACATCTCCACTTGTTGAACCTGATTTATTGCCGCTTTAGCTTTGCGGGATTTCTCAGGCTTTTTCATGTAGTTAAACCTCAAGTTGTTGAATTTCCTCTTCAAATCTCGGTAGGATTCTGTAAACTACACACACATTTATAAGCACAAGAATATTATTGATATAATACTGTAATATACATTCCTTTGTTAAAATACTGCTATATAAATGCCTCTAAGGGGGTGGTTGGCCATAATTTACAATTCTGGTCAGTCTGGGTTTGTGAAGTTTGGGGCCAGGACCCATTCAGATGTCCATTCTCCACTGATGTCAGCTGTAGTCAGGAATCAATCTCAGGTCGCCAAGTTCATAGCGCAGTGAATAAACCACTTTGCCGCTGCCCCCCCCCCCCACTAGTTATATGTAGTGTATAACAAGATGGGGTAGTTAAGGCCCTGTGGAATAGGATGAGAAAACATGCACAGGCTGATGCTGTTAACTATTTACCTGTTTAGCATTATTCCATTTATTTGATGATATCAATGGGCTATTAAAATTATGGAAAGTATGTTTGTTGGGCAATGCTAGAGAAACATTTCCTAAACCCGCATTTTTCTCAAGTGGATCATTGTACCCTAAGTTTTCCATTATTTTTATCCCAATGATATTCGTGAAACAACATATATGCACGCAATAAGAGGCGAACAGACCTGTAAATCTCAAAGTCACTCTGTCACTCTTTTTCAATTGAAAAGATGATTGATTCATTATTCGACGACGTGAGGTATTACATTTCTGTGTAAACACAACAATCCTCGCATTAAATGGGCTGTGTCGTTTTTCTTCCTATTCCCTGCACTGTGTAAATAACTTTTCTTATAAATATTTATTCATAAAGCAAAAGACCCATCCATACAACCGGAGCTTTCGCACCTCCTTCAGTTCTTCACGGGTGGCGCAGAGGTTGAGGTTCATTTGAAATTTACGTTCCACCGCGAGACCTTTCCTGCTCCACTCTGTGCAACGTTCGGCCAAAACATCAGCAGCTGACGAAAGATTCTCTTCGCGAGCGGCGCATGTCACCGTCCACTGAAAATTAGTACATCGGATGGTGTTGGTTATTTACCATCCTAACCACATGTATACAACACGGCCACACTCAATGGCATGCAGTCACAACATTGTACGGCACTTATGTAGGCAGTTTTCCTACACGGTGCATTTAATACTTAATTCGTAAGAATTCTGGCAAAAAGCAGGTAAAATTTACTTTGTCTTCGGCGTACGAATACATTTGCCTCAATCAAATATACGAACAAAGATTGTAGTGTGGATTGACATCGGGCACCTTATGGTAATATTCAAATGTACGTAGGGAATTAATGAATCATTCATCAAAAAAACGTAAGAAGCAGCATTTTCATTTTTCGATTTAAAGCTTTCGTGACTGCAGGGATTCATCTTCTTGGTTCTTTCTGTAAAGTCACGTAGAAGGGAAATAATAAAATAATAATAATAAAACATAATAAAATAATATAATAAAATAACATACTATTGTAATATAATATAATAATTATATTATTATGCTTTATTTGTATTTTATTTTATTATTTCCCTTCTACGTGACTTTACCGAAAGAACCAAGAAGACAGCTTTTTATATCAACTAAATGTCTACTTTATACCAACAAACACGCATTAATTTGCAATTTTTGGCACACAGCCAATGGGAAAAAAAACGTGTGGCAAATGCACCCTGGCATCACTTCAAATGACGCAACCACATGCCAGATCACAGAGACCACATGTCGCACGACGAGGATTGAACCCCTGCTGCCACAGCGTGTGTGCGTTTTTGAAACTTGTTTTCATTGTTATTCATTCAGACGCTGTCGCCTCGACAGACCTGGTTTCACCTGAGGACGGCTGCTTGTATTGTGGCCGAAACGTCGTGAGAATTATTTTATTATGTTTTATTTTTATTATTTTATTACTTCTCTTCTACGTGACTTTACCGAAAGAACCAAGAAGTTGTTTTCATTGTTTTTTGTTATTTATTCGACAAGAGCCCGGTAAAAGGCACAATCCGTAATAAAGAAAGCGGGGGGGTGGGGGGGATGCTACTTTATTCCGGGTACGGAAGTCCGAACTCAGTGCACCTGGGTTCTGGGAAAGAGGTTGGGCTCGCTGCCCCACTCACGTAGTAGGGACTGCCTGCGAGTGGGAACGAAGGGGTATTTTTTTTTTATAAATGGGGGAATGGAAGGCAATGGAAGAGGAACAAAAGCAAAGGGACTGAATTCCGGGTACGGAAGTCCGAACTGGGTGCTCCTGGGTTCTGGGAAGAGGCAGAAAGGTTGGGGCTCACCGTCCCGCTCATGGGGAAGGCAAGGGAAGAGGAACAAAAGTAAATGGGAAAAGGTGGTGCGGGCAGGGGGCAATGCGTTTTTGAGTCTTCCAAACCGTCTCACCGAAGCGGTGATAATGTCTGCGATGAGCGAGAGGGCAAGTCCGCAGAGGTTCATGACACGCGTTCGCTTCTCCTGCCAGTGCGTCAGGAGCGTCTGTGCATGGGTGATGTCGTGAGACGAACAGGCGGAACTCCAACTTTGGTCTAACTCCTTGGACCAGTCGAGTCTGTCCAGCTGTGACAACACACACCGGAGTTGTGGGACATCTGTCACGACGGATCAATAGCTACACGGTGAAGTGAAGGGTGTACATTTAGTGCCGAGTCAGAGAGACTGGATTTTTGTACACACGAGGTAGTTTTGCCTTTTGTTGATATGCCATAACGTGACAAATGAGCTATGGCACTTAGAAAACAACGAACCAATCACCAAGAAATTATGTGACACTAATCACAGCATGGGAGCCTGTAATTGGTTAGATCCTCTGTAGAGGGCAAGCAGAGGGTATATGAATGATTATCTTTTAAGGACAAACTGCACCCGTGCTGGAAATTAAAATGTATAAATAGGTATACGCATTGCACGCGAAAAAAAAGCTTGGTGATCACAATATTCACGAGCGTGCATCTTGTACAGCTAAATTTAATTCGCCAAGTGTCTTTAACTGTGCGTGTATTGCATAGCAAAGGTAAACACAGCAATGTTGTTTTGCACCATCTACAGGATCAGGCGATGAAAAATCCACAGGGAACTGCCACAAAGCTCCAAATTAGAAAACATGTCTAGCCAAAAGTGATTTTTTTTTTCTCTCTATATAATATCCCTGTAGTGCACCATAACGATTTTAAGTACATTAACGAAACACAGTGCAAATAGACGTTTCTGTCATACTGCAGTCTGGAACTTCACGGAATTAGTACAATCGAACTATAATTGCAATTATACCTACATAGCGGGTCACAATTAATTAAATGTATGAATGCTACTGAAAATAACCTACTTCACTTCTTCATCACAATCTATTTCATGCTATGGTAGGCAAAATAATGGTGCAATGCTTATAGCAATATAACCATAAAATGTCAAGTTACGTGTTTGCATACGGAAAATGCAGAATACGCTTTGTTTATCATCAATTGTTTTTCTGTGGGTTAAACATCCCCCATCCATTCACGAGCATGAACAAAACAAAATAGCAACGTTTCATTTATATTCGTAATATAAAAAATAAATAAATCCTCAAAATCTCATTACGCTCTCACGATCTCTCTCATTGGGTTTCGGGTTGGGAGTCATTGCCCCTTTACTTCATCAGTGACTTGATGCAACTTGGCAGCCATCTCCAGAACACGCTGACTCTCATTGATTTGATGTCTGGCCCGGCAGTGCAATGCCATCAGATCCGAGATGCCCGCTTCTGCTTCTTCACAATGCGAACCACAAGTTGCCAGCAGGTTCCGGGTCATCTCCAGATATTCCACGTCCGCGCTTATCCCCTGGAAGCCACAGGCAAACATTAATGTGTTGGGGGGGGGGAAGGGGGGGGGTCAGCAACAGGATTGTGTTTGCTCGAAACATTATAAATATCCGTGGGGTGCACCTGAAAATTTGGCCTGGCCTGTCGGAGAGCAAGGACGAGACGGACGACAGCTTCGCGATCTTGCTCGAGGTCTACGCTCGATAGCGGAACGAAAAGGTCTTCCACCTTCTTCAATTTAGATATTGTCTGGAAAGACCACAAAAATGGCGATTGTAAACGGTTTAGTGTATGACTTATTCGTGAAGAAACATGTAAATATAAACCTGAATGCATTCCGCAGTTGACAGTACAGAGCAAGTGCGCACCAAAAACATGCAGGTGATTTTTTAAAATTAACATTTCATGCATTCAGGCAGCCACTTCAAAGGTACTCATTTACCTTCTGTATCATCTCTTGAAGTTCCTTTAAATAATTCTGGTGTACAGACCTGGCCCAATCTAGTGTGACGTGGAAAGACATCCACAGCTCAATTAGCTGCAACTTTTTCTTCATTAGCTCCTCCGTTGCGGATTCGACCACGGTCACCATGTTCTTCACAGGCATCTGCGTACTTGGTGCAACCTAAAAAAAAATCACTTTGAGCGTGCGTAGAAAATCCTAATCAGAATATTTATTTATGCCGAGGAATCCGATGAGATGTGAAGCTCTTTTTTCACATGCCTAGGAGTTCACAGATATCCAGTATTTAGACCATGGGAACCTCAGAGTATGAGAGCTCGGGGTAAATGCTTACCCCGAGCTCTCATACTCTGATGGTGCATTGTCTTTGAGTTGTGCGCCTTTTGGCGTCATCTGGTCCAACCCATGTGAGACTAGGCTCTAAGGAAAGCTGTCTCGGGTGTGGACCAATCAACTTCAAGGACAGTGCACATTATCAGAGTTGAGTTTTTGTTTGCATTATGACTGCAGGTATTGTGGTCTATGCAAACATGACTCCTTGTAAAAAGGTGTCAGTTTTGTTGCCAGATAGAAGGGTAAAAAAACAATTATCAGATATCCAGTAGTTCAAAGATGGACAGCAGTTCAACTGCTGGCGAATGGGGGAAGCCCTTGAGAGCCCCTCTAGAGCACTGGTTCTTCACCTTAACTACAAACTCACACACCTTTTGTGAAACAAAGTAGTCGTACTTACGGGCCCATGCTTAATTCGTGTTACGATGATTTGCCTTATAAAAAAAAATCTGGCCATGTCTCGCACCCCCAGAAAGGGAATCTCGCACACCCCCAGAGGGTGCGTGCAGCCAGGTTAAGAACCACAGAGTAGGCCGTGTATTCGGCCTACTCTTCCACACTGGTCAGACCTTGTCAATTGACTAAGCTTCGTGTACCCCGTTTATACTTCTGGGTGGACAGAGGCAGAAAGGGATGAAATAAACTTGCACCGTTGTTTCAACTGCCACGCGGGGAGATCGAACCGGCAGACTCTGGACTGCGTGTGCTATCCATTACAGCACGGCAAGTGTCTGACTTGGCCGCGCATTATTTTCCAATCAATCAATCAATGAAGACACAATGCGCCCATGATTAAATGCGGAAATCGTGCAAATGCCATACCAGCGCAACAGCTGTGATGAAGCCAGAGCCAAGGTCGCGTGAGGACGCCATCGCATTCAGGATCGTCCTCCACTTGGCATTTCCTTGCTCCATCAACATCGCCCGCTCCTCGTGCCCCCCGACGTTCGTCAACTCCGCCTTGAAGAAATCCTCCATTGACTTCGAGTATTCGCCAATCTGTGAAAGAGGGCGCATCACGAAGAGTGAATTCACGCACAAGCGTCGGCTAACATCCCACGGCCTCCATTCGTCTACAAACAGGGTTGCGATGTTCCATCTGCGTTGTGGTTTTCGTTGTTGTTGTTGTTGTTGATATTTCATGAACACTATGACTCCTGTTGCTTGTGATTAATCAGAATCAGAATCCGTATTTAGACTGGAGGAGGAATTACGATGAGCTACGAAGCTTTGTGTTCACAGATGTCCGGTCGGGGCAGGTCAAAAAGTTACAACAACAAACAATGCAAACACCTGATAGGAGTACAACGTATAGGAAATGTAAGCAAGTCACAAATAACAAATAAACATTTTTTACAGTATAAAGTATATAACTACAAATTATAAAAGTATTTAAATTCTTGCCGATTTTTCAATAATAAATGCAAGTTTCTATTTAAAGCTCTCATGACTGCAGGGATTCATCTTCTTGGTTCTTTCGGTAAAGTCATGTAGAATGGAAATAATAAAATAATAAAAATAAAACATCGTGAGAATTATTTTATAATGTTTTATTTTTATTATTGTATTATTTCCATTCTACGTGACTTTACCGAAAGAACCAAGAAAATAAATGCAAGCTTGGGCAAGGAAAATAAAATTGCACATTAAAATTTAACAATCGCCACGTGGGTAAGGATCAAAGTTAGAAATCACATTTGCAAATATGTGCAATTACCTCTGTGGATACGCAAGTACAGCCACTTTTGTCAATATACTGCTGGAGGAGGCTCCCCGCCAATGCCATGCGGGTGGTGCGGGTTACATGACCATACTTTACAATGCTGGTCAGTGCAGGTAGGTGAAAGGTAGGGAGCATAGACTTGCGTGGGTATTACAGTACAACGGTGGATTTTGTTACATTGCCCTCTGCTGCCCATAATGTATCTCCAGCACCACAGTACAGTACAAATGTAGAGTGCAGTGCAGTAATTGTAAACATAAAAAACGTGTCCAATTAAAACACGTTTTAAGGGAATTTTTTTGAATTTTATTTTTATTATTTCTTGGTTGTTCTCTCCGATGTTGCACATACACCGTCTATGGAGACAACATTTACAATGAAATTCACTTCATTCATATGCAAATATGAGACATCTGTGAATGCAATTCATTCTACCACAACGTACAGAACACGCAGCCAATTTGACAGTGTGGTACAGTAGAGGAGAACTCTTCTCTACAGCCCTATGACCCACAACTCCACACTATTTCTTCCCATTATCCCCAACTTTACCCAAAATTCATAGCGAAGCGGCTTGCTGATAAATTCATCCTGTTATCCGCGGGGTTATCCGCGATTTGTTACTCCAATGGATAGGAGTTCAATTCACGGATAGCCACACAGATAATACAATCCGTTAAATTGGTCCCGCCATATCACCCCGGATGTATGCATGTCGAACTTCTTTCACACCATACGTAGCCAACTGTGCAAATCGGAGGTGCGGGAGAAGGACAACAAACTGAACACAAAAAGCAGTTCTAAGTAATTGAGTTTTCCATCTAGATTTAAAAGTACATAGCTCCAGTGGTTTCCTCATATCGGCAGGAAATGAGTTCCAGACGGCCACAGAAGCGCATCTGAAAGCACACAACGGAGTGACCGTCTTTGTTCGATGGCTATCCAAAAGCCACTGTTGCGAGGACAGCTGGAGTTCGCGTGATGGTTTATGCTCTTTGAAGAGATCCAGCGAGGTCAAAAGATATGAGGATTTCTCCTGTTAATTGTAATTTGTGCCATCGGATACGACGCAAAATCAGCAAACGTGTCACTGCACAGTCTCCTGTGACTTCACTTGAGTAGAAAATGCAAATTTGCGTAGGTACGGGTGACGACCCTTTCTCATACCTCTTTGGCTGAGTTGAGAAAGGTCACATACGCCCGTATGGTTTCTGTACGCTCCTGTAGGTCCGCGTACATGCAGGTCCAACGCTCACGCAATCGGGCAACTTTCTCTTCAAGCGCCTCCATGTCAGGCGCCTCCAGCTGTCGCAGCTGCGTGATGAGGTCCGTGATCTGCTCGACGCCACCTGCGATATCCTGCCAAAGACACAGATTTAATTAGCACCACGGCCAGCGCCTGGATGCACGCAGCCACATAGTTCATGTGTAGCAGCAACGGGTAATTACAAGTGAATTAACTTTGTTGGCGCCGATTAATAGCAACGACTTCAACAATGATTCTAATTTATAACACGCATTGCATCCTAGGATCCCAATTGTGCGATGCATGAAAAGCAGGAAACAAAAACAGAACCAGGGCAACCGACTAAACTCAAGAGGGAAGGCCACTTATAAGAGATGGGTTTTCAAAGCAGACTTGAATTTATCTACAGACTCTGATTGCCTGATTTCAAGTGGCAAGGTGTTCCAGAACTTAGGTGCCACGCTAACAAAAGCCCGATCACCAAAGGAGTGCAACCTAGACCTGGAAGTGCTGAGCAGTTGGAGATTTTAATCAGATGCGGGAGTTTTGCATGCGCATACTAGTACACATGGTACGTTGGGCCAACGCTGGTCCAACGGTTCCAACAACATACCAATATTGACCTCAACGCTGCATGTTTACTGGGTAAATATTGTACCGTAATGTCTAGGAGTAATAAAATACAATCAAGCAACCCCATGCTACGTAACCATGTTATGAATCCAAGAAGAATGTTAACCACCACTCTTCAGCAAGGCCAAGGGCTTAAAATGACTTTTACACTTACTTTAACATTTTATCTACAAAATTACACCTTGCCATGTTTACAACATGTTACCCTATTTGTATTTTTGTATTTTAAGATTGTATATTACGGCTAGTTTACATTTTATATTGTATACTTTTTAGTATAGTTAGACTGTATACCACTTATTTAAGTTTTAAGATTCCTACATGTTGAATGTATGCACCTTCCTGCCATAGTACATTCCTTGTCTGTGCAAACTCTCATGGCGAATAAAACCCTTTCTGATTCTGATCTCTTTCAGTTTCTACAATAGAGAGACGCTCGTTCAGTCAGATCGTACGTCCCTCTGTACATTCTTCATCCACACGCGATCTACACATATCACGTGCACATCAAATGTAAGTTCCTACCCTCTAGTTACAACACGAGTACATTTACATATTCGACATGGTGCTGTTGCTGTCTTGTCAAGAGACGAATAACCCACTCAGAACGCCGAAAGCAGTGCATCCTCTCCTGTTAGTAAACAGCCCACGGAGGCGGATATCACAGCACTATGTCTGAGAAATAAATCCAAAGCCAACCTGCACGACTGCATTGTTTAACATATTATACATTGGTTTTAATAGAAAAAAAACAATGGAACAACTTTATCGATGCAACACAATCAAGTTGTATCACGAGCAGTAAAGACATGGAACAGTCTGAGTTAGCCATGGAATGATGGCTTGCTAAAGTGATCAAAAGCATTTGGAGCATTATGGTGATAACATATGACCAATGAATGCCTTCTTGCAGCACATTACAACTTGCTCAAGAAAGTATTGATATTGGTAATTGTTGAAATTGGCATACATACACATATATATGGTACAGCTACATTTATCATAGACAAAAACTTTGTTTGCACATACATATTGTCAGCCTATGCATAGCCTACACAGACTGTTGGGGCAAGCGTTGTTTGCGAGCACCTATTCAGGCCAGGAGACAGCTTGGCCAGAAACCACACCGACGCCTCTGTCTCTCCAGTACACCACACCAGGTACAGACGGTCCCCAGGTTGCGGAAACCCTGACTTACGGAGATCCGGACCTTACGGATATGCTCCCCATAAACCATGTTAAAAGAAAATGTAAATACGCGGAAATTGTCACGTTAGTTACGTGAGCGCAAGTAGTGCAGCGCGGTGAGGTTGCGGATTAATACCGCGGAGCGAGGAGGTGTGAGGCGGACAGCCGCCTTACGCCTCGAACCAGCTTCACTGGAATTAAGGTAAATGGATCTTCTTGGTTCTTTCGGTAAAGTCACGTAGAAGGTAAGTAATAAAATAATAAAAATAAAACATAATAAAATAAAATTATATAATAAAATAATAAGGTAAATGGAATGTATCTTTGATTTTGGGGAGGAAATTTTTCAGTTTCCGGCATACAGAAAATTCGGGTTACGGATCGTTCTTGGGAACGTTTCCCTTCCCTAACCCGGGGACTGCCTGTACTTATATTAAGGCTGAGTCCATCTAGGGGAGGTGCAGTTCAGGCTCAGATATTCACCACTTCTCTCAGCTGTGCGTGGGAATTGAACTCGGGAGACCAAGTCTGCAGTGTGGTGCTTATGCACGTACACAATGTATGCAATTGTACATTGCATGTATACGTTCTGCAGGCACCAAATGGTTAAATTTGCAGACATGCTATTTTAAGTTCTCTATTTCTGCACAAGAGCTCTATTTAAATGCGGAGCACCTTGCCTCGGACATGGTGTACAGGACCAGGTGCTCCGCGTTTAAATAACCGACATTCCACTACAAAGGGTGAAATAGGGTGATTCTGTTTGTTGTTACTAAGTCAACAAAAGTAATGTTTACATTAAATAAAATCTGTAATGAAGGGGAATTATTTTAAATTATCATTACAAACACAGGCAGTAACATCATGGAAATCAAGAGACCTCATGAGAGAAAGCAAAGCTCAAAAATCTATAATGAAGGGGCATTATCTTAAATTCTAATTACAAACGCAGGCAGTAACATCATGGAATTCAAGGGACATTATGAGAAAAAGCAAAGCTCACCGCTATTCTGTTTATGATGAAATAGAGAGGTGAATGAGGAGCAGGTTTGAGTGCAATTGGGAAGCTGAACTTCATAACAGGAATCAGTTGGTATATATGTATGTTGAACTTCAGTACGTGCTTATCGGAGGTGCTGGGGAAGAAGAACAAACTAAACGCAAAAAAGCAGTTCCAAAGAAATTAGTTTTCACTATAGATTTAAAGTGCATAGCTCCAGTGGCTTCCGAATATCTGAAGAAGAGCGTTCCAGACGGCCGCAGAAGTACATGTGAAAGCGCGTGATGCAGTGACCGTCTTTGTTCGATGGTTCGCCAAAATCCACTACGAGGATGGATTTTGCGTGATGGTTTATGCTCCTTGACGACATCAGCAAGGTATCGTGCTTAAATTGTGGCAAGCACTTTGTGTGTAATGAGTGCAACCCTATAATGTATTCGTTCAGCAACCAGCTCAGTGAGCACCGGATAGGCATGGTCGGATCTTGCAGTACCCGTCACGACGTGGATAAGAAACACAGGCGATGGAGCGATGTAAACGTCCTCGTGTGCAGGTGCTAGATGGATTGTTATCGAAGACTTCAGGAGGCCTTCACCCAGAAGTATATTGATAATGGCTGATGACGATATTTTATTTTCAATGCTGCGCATGTCATAAAAATTGTTTAAATATAAATAAGTTGGTCGAAACGTGGCTCTGTACGTGACAGCTTTGAACCGAGAAGGATGTGTGAAACACACCTTTGATAGGTCCATCAGGTGCACGTGTTCGTCCAGGATGTTTTCATATTCAGAGGAGAGCACATCACATTTACTTTTCAAAACAGGTTCATATTTAGTTTGAAGGCTGCCGGTGACCTACGATGAGAAGAGAGCACAAGGGAACAAGAATCATGAGGAAGCTATCAAAGCGAGCAGTGTATTCTGGACACATTAACCCCTTTCACTCCACAATTACAGAGCAGATATAGTCCGCGAAGCAATAAACTAACGCCGCCACCGACGGCCCAAGATGCAATCATATCAACGCGCAATTCATCTCAGTTACTTTTCTATGTATCACCATTGATCAATACCGACGCAATTTTTCTTATTCGTGGATGTGCAACGATCGATCGAAAATTCGATATCATGGGGGGGGGTGGGTGGGGGTGATTCTCTCTCTCTCTTCCCCTGCGAGCATTTGAGTGATGGACCAACGTTGACCTTTTCGAGGAGCTCTTGAAGGAGACACAGCAGACGCTGCCGCTGCAGACACAGCTCCATGGGCGCTGTGCACGCGGCCTCCAACCTCTGTGCTCGCCGCTTCACGTCGCCCAGCGCCCTGTGCGCTCCTTCCATCCCGCCACTGGAATTCGGCACGCGCAGACACAACAGCAAAGATCCGCCCCCACCACTAACACCACCACCCTCGCCGAACGTAGCGGTCAACAGACTGCTGCAGGCAAGCATCCAGGATGGCAGTTGACGGCACGACGCCCGATGGCAATTGTCTACCCAGTGCTGATGTCTTTTTTTTTTACACATACTGCACCAGGTAACTATTTAAGGCCGAGTTGACCTCGGGGAAGCCCAGGATCGGTTCAGATATTGTTAGTCGCTGATGTTAGCCGTGTCCGGGAATGGAACCGCAGCAGCACAGTGCACCATCATGCTATCACTCTTCATATACATAAACACACACATGTATGCATTAACACACACGCACAATAAATACAAAGCAGAGAAATGCACACACGCATAAACATGCGTGAGCATACACACACGTGCACATGCATGTACACACAAACACATATGCATGCAAGCACACACACAATATTTGCAAGCAAGTGCTATTAGCGAGCACCTATGAAGGCCGGCACGGTACACGAGGGGGTGGCTGACTCGTACCACACCCGACCGCCTTTGTCTCCCAAGTGGCAATGTTTTTACACATCGCACCAGGTACTCATTTGGGTCGGCCTGGAACCTGTTCAGATAATCGTCACTGGTGTTGACCGTGAGCGGGAATCAAACTCGAGTCAGCAGGGGTTCGTAGCGCAGCATGCTAACTGCTACACTAACACTCCCATCCACACACACACAAAGACATACACGAAAATGTACAGACACACCAGCAAGGAAAACCAAATGCAACATTGCCAAACTATAACAGGGGCACGAAGCATACATTATTAATGAGCAAGGCCTCACATGTTTTTTGATCAGTCATTCAGTTTCATTGTAAGGAAGACACAATAATTGGAAATTATTGAAAACCCAGATCCAAGACCCTTTCATGAACGAATATTAATACACACACACATCACAATGGTGGTCCAATGTACGATGCAGTCTAATTTAACTTTCAAAGCATGCCTACATAAACAAATTAAGGTGCGTTGCACATGCATGAGTTTTATTTTTTTAAAGATGGCTTTTTAGAATTTTAAGACACAAGCCAATCAAAAAATGTTAGGACAGTCCAACATCTTTGAATATGCTGGAATTTCAACAAAAGCAATGCAATAGCATTGAGGTAGTAGGGTTTAAACAATGCAATATATTTCAAGACTGGATACCTAAAGAAAAGTTATTAAAAAATATATATGGCAATCCCAATGGATAAGTAATGAGAAATTACATTAAAGCTGATACTCTACGACAAAAATTAAAGATTAAAGTAATTTTACAATTATTTGCGCATTCGTAAACGGAAGCTTATCGTAAACAAAATCGTGTAACATTGTGGTCCTTTCAAACGCTGCCAATGTACAGAGCTTAGCTGGTGAGCCTGTCCTGCTACCCCTTCACCAGCGTAGTAATTATATGATAATTCTCTTGTCAAAGCAATGCAAGATATATTTTATTTAAATGTAGTACCTCCACATTTTAGTCAATCGGCACATTGCATGTGATGGGGTAATGTGTGGGTACTCCCACATGTTCCAAGACATCTTAGCCAGCATCAAAGAGAAGGTCAAAATGCCATCGAGAGTAGAGGTCCTTCCATCAGCAGTGGCATGAGCAATGAAATTGCACCTTTATCTTTTCCTTTTCAATACCTCATTCCATCTGCTGCTGCCAGAAAATGCGTGCCCTTGTCTGTAGCTTCGGCGATGACATCCCTAATGGCATTTGAGATGTCCTGCTGTTCCTTAGCCTGAGCTGCCAGTCCTTTTGAACTTGACTTGATCAACTCAACCTGCGTTTCCAGTCTGGCCAGCGCATCTGAAGCCTGCCAAAGGTTCGTTGGAATGGGCAAGACACAAAGCAACGATTACTGACTGCACGCATTCATTTGCATTGAACGACAGGGCATAATTGTCAAACTCTTAGGTTTTTTCGGTAAAGTCACGTGACTTTACCGAAAAAACCTAAGAGTATGAATCCTTGCAGTCACGAAAGCTTCAAATCTAGCATCATAATTGTCAATTTGCATTTGGACTACAAGATTCCAGAAGCAGGCTAAATCAGCAGATCCTATTTTTTCCTCGCATTGAAAGTCAGACATAAACGGGTTGGTGAATATGCAGCATTTATATTGTTATATTGCAAAATTAAATGCTTTAAAAGCTAAACCATACAGAAACCCTTATTTTAAACCAGCCAAAATCCCACTGACATCAGAAGGGAAATCTGGGACGAATTATGACACCATAGAAAACACAGAAATTAAGCATTTCAACACAGGATCAATACAAGCAAAACTGCACATTAGGAAAGTCTCAAATGTGATTGAAATAATAATTAATATATACCCTTGACCGAAGTGGGATTTTAATTTCCCACCTTAGAAATATCACCATTTCACCCATTGTTTAATCACGTAAGCAGCAGCTATTCTCCTTAGCTTTGCGAGCGCGTAACACTGGCACATATTTGCCGTGCTAATGAATGCCACCGCGCCTGAGAACGGCCTCCGGCCCATCACACAACAACAGCTTCAAGCAGTGAATCACGTAGGCTTCTGTGATGGCAGTATATTTTTTTCAGTCATTAGGCAAACTCGGTGTTACGTGGCACGAGCACAGACATCTGAGCAATGTTTTGTGCGTGGCAGTCAGGGGCCAGCGTAGGGTCTCGGCGGGTGGGTTGGGCAGAGTCGGCTTGTTTTGGACTGCACCGCGGTTTCCAAATTATGTTGCACCAGGACAGCATGAGCAAAATGAAATTATCATTGTTTGGAACAACACAACAACAAATACAATGGAGTAATGCATCTCTACGGCAATTGGTGGGGGCAGCCCGGTGTAACGGGCCGTTGTATACCCCCAGGTCGTAGTATACCCGGGGTTAAAACGGCCTAGGCTAGATTATACCCCTCTCGGCAAAATCATACCCCCATGAGAGTAATAGTGTTGAGCGATATACACATGAATTACTAAATTTTTCCAACATTTTATTTAATGGACGAGGCGATTTAATATTTCTTTTCCAGGGGTGTACTTAACTCCGGGACTGGGGTACCAATCGATCCGAAATCAGTGGTGCTACTCCTTCGATGTCGAAATGCAGCGAGGACGATTGCGCTGAAGCCCTGAACGCTCGCACGCACCGTGGTGGTGCATCGTGTACAGCTCGTCGAGATGAGTCGATTGCCGCAGTCGCCCGACCATCAACAGACTAAAAATGACTGCATCACAGACATTATGCGAGGGCCAGGGTGCTGTGGGTACCTCGGGGTACCGACATAAGGTTCATATGTCCCATCTGTATGGGATAGAGCGTTGCCCCTTTGCACACGTGGGTTTCCTCTGGGTCCTCCGGTCTCCTCCCACGTGAATAAACACTCAATGGTTGGCTGAAAACATCCTAATATATGCACTTGAGCGTTTGTAAATTGCGCGGCGTTGTGAGATGCAGTTGCATAATTGATGCTACGTGAAGAAAAAAACCTGGAAATTGTATATTTTAATATAGCCTGACAACGTGAAGATATCCCTAGATGCAGTATAGAATCATGGCGCAAAAACGGATGATTTAGTTTATTTTAGCAGACGAGAACTCACTGCCCCTTCAAGAGAGCAATCAACAAGGCACAGCCATTGGCATTGCCTAAGATGCAATGCCAAAACGAGCTAACAGATAGAAAAGACAAATACATATATGTACAGCACATATTTTACATGTAAATATCAACAAACAGAAAATACAATGTAATAACTAATTTAGTTGCGGTCTCAACAATGGTCAACAGGATGAAGATGGTACAGTGAAAATGTAAACCATGAAAAAAATGTAATGCTTTGATGTGAAATTGAAGGAATTATGACAATTTGCTGTATATGATAACACAACAGATGGGAGGTTCCACCTCAAGGGGTTGTCCAAATAAAATATTTTATTTTTATAAATAAAATATTTTATTTTTTAATTAAAAAAATATTATATTTTTATTTATAAAAAATATTTTATTTTTATAAATAATTGAATTTATAAATTAATTTTATTTTTTATAAATAAAAGTGTTTTTATAAATAAAAATAAAATACGAGATGTAACATAGAGGAGGACTAGATCGTTAGCCTAGACGTACTGAGTGTAAGAGAAGGCGAGACTTCTGGAGAGCAAGGGGAAGCCTATTTTCTGTGGGAGGAACGTGATACGAGATGCAAACAAACTCACCGTGTAATGTTGAACACGTGGGAGGCTTTCCAGACCAATACTATCCGTAATATAGTTTTTTTGGGTTAGGTGGCATAAATATAAATGTGTCGTTAAACCCGCCACCACCCGACACAGCCCAATTAGTAAGGTTTGTCACGTTTTATCCCCTCTATTTAAGACCGAAACAGGAGGAATTCTCCACAACTCTGGCTATCGCCTGAAAACGCTCGTTGTAATTACCGGCAAAACGTCGAACTCGAATTGTAACTGTTGTGGGTTTGTTCTCCAACACACCGGTGTGCTGTACTAGTAACGAAATGACATGTTTTGTTTACGTGACAAACCTTACTAAGTGGCTGTGTCGGGAGGTGGCGGGTTTAACGACACATTTATATATTTACACGATCTAACCCAAAAACCTCTATGATGGATCATCGTGTATTATTAATACGAGTTGGTTACTGGAGGTAGCAGTTCGCTAACAGAGAGACAGAGAGGAGTGCTTTGGGAGAACAAATCAAATTGCTCTTTGCATTTACTTACTACGGACTGTTCCCGTGCAAATTTTGCAGGAAAAGAAGATAATGCACGTGCTCGTCCCTTATCCGCTGGCTCGATTTGCATTCATCAGAGGAGTTCGTTTCACAGCTACCCCTTGTCCTCCTGTTCATTTGTCCCAAACGTAATCCCCGGAGACTCACCGCTTAAACAGACTGCGTCTATGACGGCCCACGCTGCTGCCCAATCAAGTGGCTCACTTAATCATGCATTCCTATACCCCCCCCTGCCCCCCCGCTGACGGGTAAAGCATGAATTAAATAGGGATGTAAAATAAAACCAAAACTAATTAAAATGCATTAAACAATTAAGTGGCTTGGGCAGGACGCGTCGCGGGAAGTCAATGATGGCCGATGCTCAAGAATAATGGAGGGTAGCGGCAGTCAATGAGTGGAAATGCGTCCGAGAGTAACATCAGCCGCGGAGATGGAGCGATTAAATCCGCTTGTGCGCAGATATTAGGTGGATTATCCCATTGCAGGATGGTAAGAAATGGTGACAGCTTGGGTAAGTCTTCGTCTAACAGTGGATAGGCCATGGCTGATGATGATGATGATTATTATAATAGAAACAATTCAAATACAATTGTAACTGCGCTATAACAGTGTGAGTAAAACTGGGTCAGAATAATTTGTTTTTCCTTTTTAAGATTGTAACAAAGCCTGAGCACCTTTAATGACATACCCTGAACAAAATAGCTTTAAATGAGTCTGGTCAATAAAGAACTAAACAAACGTAAATGTTTTAAGTGACTGCCAAAATAATTACTTAACCTGCAGGCAGTGGAATATCTCTGTGCATTGTGTAATGTATGGGGAGTAGCAAATAAATGCAGGTGTCATTGATTAATTTGATTGTGTTAATTAAAACGAGCCAACAGAGGCCAACAGGGGATAGCAGGCAATATAAGATCACATCAGGGTCGAAAAGGGAAAATGTGTTGTGTGATAAGGGCTGCAATGGCATGAGACTAATGGATACAGCCTGTTCATCCGATAATTTAAATCTAGCAGAGGGTTAAGCATTTATCACGATGTGAGGAGGATGACAACGAGGATGACGATGATCCAAATGATGATGATTATGTTAGTTATGAATATGATGGTGATAATATAATGATACCAATAATGAAAATGATGCTGATGATCATGTTGATAATGCCAATAATGATCAGGATGACAGTGAGGATGATGATAACGGTGATAGTTATGATGATGCTCTTTTTTTTCGGTAAAATCACGTAGGTAAAAAACTAAATAAAATAAATGAAAACAACTAAATTAAATCACGACGTTTCGGGCGCAACACAAGCGTCCGTCATCAGGTGGGAAAGCATGGTCTACTGCTGATGCAGACAAAACAGTCCGAAACGTCGTGATTTAATATTGTTGTTTTCATTTATTTTATTTTATTTTTTACCTACGTGACTTTACCGAAAAATCCAAAGAGTATGAATCCTTGCAGTCACGAAAACTTCAAATCTAGAAGTTATGATGATGGTAATGATTACACTGGTCAACAAAAAAAACATGTTTTTTCTGGCCTAGGACTTTTGCAGCTGTTTTAGACTAATTTCAGGGTGCCTGATTCCAAATCTGATCTCAGATTTGCTCTATCACATCTCATTTTATGCTCTCGGCATACCCCATTTTCATTGATTTTACCCGAAATTAACTCTGTCACTTATGATTGCAAGTTGTTGCGAGTCAGTGACTGCTTTAGGTGCTAAAATCTGGTGCTGTATTTTTAGGATAGTGTGTTTATAATATCATTTTATGTAGATATCCACATTTATTTAATATATTTTTTCTGCAGTTTTTATTGAAAATGCAATATTTGATATCTAAAAAACCTGATGTGATAGACAAAAACTGATGCCAGATTTGGAATCAGCACCCCAAAATTACCTTAAAACCGTTGAAATACCTGATGCCAGTAAAAGTATGTTGACCAGTGTTATCACTGATGAAAATGGCATCAAATGATTATGATGATGATGATAAAAACCTCATTGGCAGCACAAAAGAAGGCGTGTGCTTGGTGTAGGGTAGTCCTCCGTTGTGCCATCAGCCTCCAGAACTCCTGGCAGAGGGAAGCGGATGCCCTGGGCACGCTGTGACACCGCCTGCTCCTCCGAGAAGCCCTCTCGTGCCATCATCTCCTCCGCCTGATGCAGCAGGCTCTGCACCTCCTCTGCCACCTCCTGGCAACACACGGGCACCATTGGCATACGCCGCAAATTCTCGAGCCATGTGATCATATTTCGATTTAAAGCTTTCGTGACTGCAGGGATTCATCTTCTTGGTTCTTTCGGTAAAGTCACGTAGAATGGAAATAATAAAATAATAAAAATAAAACATAAATAAATCATTCTCACGACGTTTCGGCCACAACGCAAGCAGCCGTCCTCAGGTGAAGAACAGGTCTGTCAGAAAATAAAAAAACAGAACAGGTCTGTCTTTCTGACAGACCTGTTCTTCACCTGAGGACGGCTGCTTGCGTTGTGGCCGAAACGTCGTGAGAATGATTTATTTATGTTTTATTTTTATTATTTTATTATTTCCATTCTACGTGACCATGTGATCATGTCGAAATGTGACCTCTTGCCCCCCCCCCCCCCGTAGCATCATGTTCTAAATGGCAGTGCATCCGTCGCAATGGCCCGAAAGCTTTTGAAGAAGCTCGCATCAGTGACCTGCAAGGGAGGAGGCATCGACGCAGGACATAGAGACTGCACAGTTCTCAACTGGTGCCTTCACTCCTGGTATCTGCGGGTGTACCTGCACATCTGTGATTGGACTGTTATCCTAACCGCATACCCATCACTAACTGACGCTTTGGACTCTCTGAATTTGACTCTCGGTTGCTGACCTCCTATCTTGCAGGGATGTGAGATTTTGCATATTCCAATTCTGCCATTCGTGTAGTGTCGTGAGACAAACTATCCATTCGAACCTCTCAGAGCAGTACATCACTTCCTTTAAATGCTCATCTTTATCCACACACCTAGCACACTATACCACACACCATGGTACAAAAGGAATGCCTGATTCAAGCCAAATTTAGTTTTATTCTTGAAAATGCAATGCATCCAAATTTTATGGGGGGGAAACACGTTTAATGCAATGTTTGTTTTTGTGCGCAAATAATTTGTAACTGGGGTGAAATCATCAACTCGCTACACATGAGAACCCGGCTTAATCACTGGTAGCCGAAACCTACATTACAATCTGGGATAGTCAGTAGTGGACCCGATCCCCCTCTAACGCATGGACAAATCCACAACTCTGACAACACGACCATCAAAACCTACCTGTATTTTCTCTCAAAGCTACATGCAAAAAAAAAAACATTTCGATTTAAAGCTTTCGTGACTGCAGGGATTCATCTTCTTGGCTCTTTCGGTAAAGTCACGTAGAAGGAAATAATAAAATAATAAAAATAAAACATTATTAAATAATTCTCACGACGTTTCGGCCACAACACAAGCAGCCGTCCTCAGGTGGAGAACAGGTCTGTCGAGGAGACAGAGTCTGAATCTCCTCGACAGACCTGTTCTCTACCTGAGGACGGCTGCTTGCGTTGTGGCCGAAACGTCGTGAGAATTCTTTTATTATGTTTTATTTTTATTATTTTATTATTTCCATTCTACGTGACTTTACCGAAAAAACCAAGATGTAAAAAAAATACATTATTAATGTATTTCTTTAAACTTCAATTTTTTACCTTCGCTTTATTGTTGAAATCCTCGTAGAGTTCGAGGAGTGTTTCGTTTTCTTGCAGGCAGGAACCAACGTCTTCCATTTGCAAATAGCGTTCTCCGTGATCTCTAAACCACTGGGTCATCTTAATAGGAATAACAACATCAGGCAGGAACCAACGTCTTCCAATTGCAAATAGCACTCTCCGTGATCTCTAAAAACACTGGGTCATCTTAATAGGAATAAAAACATCAGGCAGGAACCAACGTCTTCCAATTGCAAATAGCACTCTCCGTGATCTCTAAAAACACTAGGTCATCTTAATAGGAATAAAAACATCAGGCAGGAACCAACGTCTTCCAATTGCAAATAGCGCTCTCCGTGATCTCTAAACCACTGGGTCATCTTAATAAGAATAAAAACATCAGGCAGGAACCAACGTCTTCCAATTGCAAATAGCACTCTCCGTGATCTCTAAAAACACTGGGTCATCTTAATAGGAATAAAAACATCAGGCAGGAACCAACGTCTTCCAATTGCAAATAGCACTCTCCGTGATCTCTAAAAACACTAGGTCATCTTAATAGGAATAAAAACATCAGGCAGGAACCAACGTCTTCCAATTGCAAATAGCGCTCTCCGTGATCTCTAAACCACTGGGTCATCTTAATAAGAATAAAAACATCAGGCAGGAACCAACGTCTTCCAATTGCAAATAGCACTCTCCGTGATCTCTAAAAACACTGGGTCATCTTAATAGGAATAAAAACATCAGGCAGGAACCAACGTCTTCCAATTGCAAATAGCACTCTCCGTGATCTCTAAACCACTGGGTCATCTTAATAGGAATAAAAACATCAGGCAGGAACCAACGTCTTCCAATTGCAAATAGCGCTCTCTGTGATCTCTAAACCATTGGGTTATTTTAATGAGAATAAAAACATCAAACCAAATTATAATGAAACACATTACATACGTGAAGTAATTATACACATCACATCGAGATTAGAAAACGTATTTATGATAATGCAAAAGTAACTAAAAGTGCTACGCACAATATTCACTTAGGAATATAATGATCGTTTAAATATATGTCACACTCGTAATATACGGACTGAATCGTGTGTGAGATAATCTATTAAGCCTTTTAAATGCAAATGTAATTAAAACAATGTGTTCCACGCTACATTTACGCAAACGGAACAGGAAAAAAATGCACAAAATTATTTCAGAAAACAATGACCGACAAAACAAACAAGACGGTAAAATAAGCCCCCGAGAAAATGTGCGTTCTTGATTAGTATCCTCAATCCCAATTTGTGACGTCACTGTAGGTGTGAACCATCACCAGCGTCGCTGCGATACAAACTTTCACAATACAGAATCACAATCTGAATATGTATTCATACTGGAGGAATCCGATGAGCCATAATGCTCTGTTTTACACGTTCAGTAGGGTCGGGTAAGAACGTTACAATATAACAAACAGTACAAAAATATGATATTAGTGCAAAGTACAATAAAGGTAAACAAATGACCCAAACACATACAAATAAAATTAAACCATCCCCATGCTACCAGGCAGAGCCCACTGGGGTATTAATGTATCTTTCAGAGGCGACCTGGTCGCAAATCATAGCTCAACAAAGTGGCCCATCATTTGGACATTGATGGCACCAAATTAATCTAAATAATCTCAATGCACGTTTCTACAATGTGATAACGATGTCATATTTCACGATATAACTACAATCTCGAGATCGGTTTCAGCCGTAACTTTTCGATATAATTTCACATTTTTGGGGAGGTTTTGTTTGCTTGAGTGCAGATAAAAAATCCCTTCAATGTTCTTCAACCGTTTCTTATCCAATAACTGCTCGCTAAAATTATTCTCATCACTGTTAAACAAATATATGAATGCTAATAAGGGTACATCTTGTCAGTTGCACAAGAAGTAATGAACCGAATTACGAAATGATTCCATCATTTAATTACCATGCTGTCAATTAATTGGAAACAAAACATTTTTCAAAGCAGTAAATTATTTGGATGGCAGTTGCTTATTTTTTTCTTCTAAAAACGTCTGTCCAGCACTCAGGAGTTGGCCATAAATATCCACCCGAGGTGCTCTCCAGAGCTCCCTCTAAGTGGATGTCCATTCTGCCAGCCGTGGCATGAGCGAGCAATTTACAACTTTAATGGACCAGTGTGTTGTTTCGTACATATTGTCAGCAAAAATTAAAAACTAGCTGCGATGACCACAATATCATTTCGAAATCGTGCTATTTTTAAATCCTTTATATTAAGTTCACTTGCTTGCGTGCTTGCTTGCTTGCTTAGGACCGTGCAAATCTTTCGGTCGTTTTTTAACCCACTTCCCGTGATCCAATCGAGCTGACATTTTGCACACAGACTCGTTGTGCGTGACAATTTATTTTCGTGAAATTTTTTTTCCAAAATTTTACACTGTTTAGGGATTTTTTTTTATATTTAATTACCAATTGCTTAATGGTGGCAGACAATCATCTGACCCATAGGTGGCAGCCATCTCAAGGCAGAGGACGAGAGGACTCTAGCCGCCACGCATATAAAGGATTTAGAGTGAAAAACTTTGTTTTTACGGGTTAATTTTTAAATCCTTTATATTAAGTTCGCTTGCTTGCTTGCACGCTTACGACCGTGCAAATCTTTCGGTCGTTTTTTAACCCACTTCCCGTGATCCAATCGAGCTGACATTTTCCACACAGACTCGTTGTGCGTGCCAATTAATGTTCGTGAAAAAAACATTCCAAAATGTTACACTTTTTAGGACAAAAATATCATATTTAATTACCAATTGCTTAATGGTGCAATGCAATCATCTGACCCATAGGTGGCAGCCATCTCAAGCCAGAGGACGAGAGGACTCTAGCCGCCACGCATATGAAGGATTTATAGTGAAAAACTTTGTTTTTACGGGTTATACTTGTTGTAAAACGGATAGGTTATCATGGACCTTACATCGTGGGATACATTGTCACGCTTGCACATCACGCGCCTCCAATTAGCACGGTTGGCTACGTACGGAACATCACGACAACCCGATGACAATATTTGCGAACACCGTAGCACCTTATCCATTTCCTGGTCCCAGCAGTAAATCGGAACAGCGACGGAAAGCTCTGCCCGTTGTTGCTCCAGCTGCGGCTCCAGATGATTGCATCGCTCCTGCAGCATCTCCATGAGTGTCTCCAGCCTCATGCGGCCTCTGCGCAGGCCTCGCCGGTAGCAGCTCTCGCTGGCAATGCTTGGGCAGCGATGCCTGAACGCCTGCAGCTCTTCCACAAGGGCCGCACACTGGGATGTCACACGTGCAGACGCCGCAGCTAGGACTGGAAGGCAGGAGGGCAAGCGGGTCGATGGGTGGGCAGGCGGTCGGGAATGGGCCGGGAGGTGAGCGTCACACGGATCAGAATGAGAATATTGTTTTATACCGGAGGAATCCGATGAGCTATAAAGCTCTTTTTCACAGATGCCCGGTAGGGGCGCATCAGAACGTTACAACTGCAAATAATACAAAAAACACGAGGGGAGTGCAGAGTATAGGAAATTTCGATTTAAAGCATTCGTGACTGCAGGGATTCATCTTCTTGGTTCTTTCGGTAAAGTCACGTAGAAGGGAAATAATAAAATAATAAACATAAAACATAATAAAATACAATTCTCACGACGTTTCGGCCACAACGCAAGCAGGTGAAGAACAGGTCTGTCGGAAAGACAGCGTCTTCAGCGTCTTCAGACGCTGTCTTTCCGACAGACCTGTTCTTCACCTGAAGACGCTGTCTTACCGACAGACCTGTTCTTCACCTGAGGACGGCTGCTTGCGTTGTGGCCGAAACGTTAGAATTGTATTTTATTATGTTTTATTTTTATTATTTTATTATTTCCCGTCTACGTGACTTTACCGAAAGAACCAAGAAGAGTATAGGAAAGGTAAGCAAATCACAGCAACCGCACCAGCCCTGTAGATCAGTGGGAAGGGGGAGGCTGGAGGAGGCTGGCTGATCCATCTCCCCCCTGCTGAAGGTTCTGCCCTACTTACTTTAATTTGCAAGGATAATTTTACGTGCAATCTGTCTGCAAATGTTGGATGAGGCTGGACAATCATAATATGTATTTATACTGGAGGAATACGATGAGCTGTAAAGCTCTTCTCCACAGATATCCAGTTGCCACCGCACAAATGAAAGCTGTGACATTTTCGGCAGAGAGCCAGACGGAGAGAACTTAAGTCCTGCTGATACGTGTTCTCTCTCTCTGTGTCTTTGTGATGTCTGTCTGCTTGTATGTCTGTCTATAGTTTTCTGGTTAGATTTTTGTTGCTATTTCTTTTATACCTGATGAAGATTGCTTGTGTTGCAATCGAAACGTCGTAGTATGCTATTATTTATTTTATCTTTATACGTGACTTTACCGAAAGAACCAAAGAATAATTCCTGCAGTCACGAAAGCTCCGAAATTGAGATTCTAAGTCCTGTAGTTTTAGGTGGGGGGTGGGGGGAGAGCTGCAGAGGGATGAGACCATCCTGATAAAGGTTCAGCCTCACTTTTACATTTTTGTAGTCAAGTCAATAAACGTTGGTAAAAAAATGAGCACAATCAAGTGATGGATGTCGCAGCCTTTCCTCATATACACAGCACGTGATAGCTCGACAGAGCGGAATGCACGATCGGCAAAATTCAGATAGCAATCGCGACTTGCTCCGTTTGGTGTTAAACATTGGTTTAAATTTTTCGATTTAAAGCTTTCGTGACTGCAGGGATTCATCTTCTTGGTTCTGTCGGTAAAGTCACGTAGAAGGGAAGTAATAAAATAATTAAAATATTAGATTATTTAATGTTTTATTTTTATTATTTTATTACTTCCCTTCTACGTGACTTTTGGTTCTTTCGGTAAAGTCACATAGAAGGGAAGTAATAAAATAATTAAAATATTAGATTATTTTATTGTTTTTTTAATTTTATTACTTCCCTTCGACGTGACTTTACCGAAAGAACCAAGAACATTGGTTTCAAGTTTGTTTAACATTCACCGTTGCCGAGTCACTTATCTGAATTTTTGGATCCCCCCCCCCCCCCATTGAAACGACATTACATACGGGGCTGAGTAGGTCGGGGGTTTTTACTTGGACCAGCTTCCGCGTGGCCACTACGCAATTGAGAGCCGTAACTTTGCATTAAGCGAGGCACGTTCGTGCAGCCGTAAGCGTGCAATGTGCAAATTATGCACGTCATGTTTTGCGTTTGCGTGTGTAGCCGCAATTTGTTGTGTGTATATTTTTAATCGTCGTCGGAAAACAATCACAATGCTAATGGGATTGTAAAGTGGATTTTTTTTTTAATACGGAAATATCAATTTCGGTGAATTGTAGAAAATCCAATAATGCCTCCAATTTAGCCAAGAGGTAAAGGGAAATTTCTACATTCATGCCCAGGGGTTTTATTACCGAAAATAACATCACAGCTTCTGTATTCAATAGTTTGTATACCTCTTCATAATAGCATTTCATGTTCACATTTTCTAATCGTATTACCTTAATTAATTTCTAACCTCATACTATTTTACGTTAATCATATTTTAGCCTTTCGCAATTATTCACATTGTCATTTCACCTCAAATTGCTGCGATTCGTTTCTATTTTGGTCCAAATAACACACATTTCACGCGTTAAAATACCGCGATTTTGCCTACGAGTTATCGATCGCACAAGTATGTACTTATACTAATACAATAATTCACAACCTATTTGTCAATCTAATGCAGGGTGTAAGGCTCCCCACGCAGTGCGGGTTAGCGAAGGGAGGACAACTGAGAACTCGATCAGACATTGCTCGCCACTGACGTTAGCCATGGGCCCGCAAATCTAACTAGGCTCCCTGCGTTCTCCGGAATCAGAATATAGATGTATTTATACTGGAGGAATCCGATGAGCTATAAAGCTCTTTTTTTGTCACAGATGTCAAGTCAGGGTGGGTCAGAACGTTACGACAACAAACAAATAAAAAAAACGAGACGAGTGCAAAGTATAGGAAATGTAAACAAATCACCAAAAAAATTACAAATGAAACTAAAGTTTTTCATTTTCACAGCCCAGTCAGTACACGCAAGCACTGTCGCACCGCTGCACCTATGCAACGTCTCAGAATGTTTATGTGTGGCTGTGCAAAATTAGTTTTGACAATTACTTATACAGTAAAACCTTGGATTGCGAGCATAATTCGTTCGGGAAACGTGTTTGTAATCCAAAGCACTCGTATATCAAAGCACTCGTATATCAGTTGTGGTCACGTGACGCTCGGCAGACAAAGCGTATACGCGCACTACTTGTATTGCAAGACCTCGCTTGTTTATCAAATTAATATTTATTTTAAAAAATTTTGCTCGTCTTGCAAAACACTCGCAGACCAAGTTACTCGCAATCCAAGGTTTTATTGTAAATGTAATGTATAATTCGTTCACCCCCACCTTTTCGCCATTCGTGCAGTTTCCACAATAAGTCTCATACGTGCGTAAAGATAGAGAGGTCTTACAATCCCCGCCCTGGCAACTCAATGGATTAATCATAATTTTGACGCGTAATTTTCTATTGTATATTTGTGATTGTAGTGGCCTCTAGTGGCTGGAGGGCATCACAAGAACCCATTAAATAAAATGTACAAATGTTCCGTTGTGACATTTGGGGCATAACAATACATTGATGCATCGGCTAAAATCAATTACTCTATTGTGCGGAGTATAACCGATTTATTCACGCATTACATTGGTCGTGTAATTAGTTCCTGCGAGACCTGTAAACACGTAAATAAATGAATGATTCTTGAATGGAATCGTAACCATGAGAGATATAAATGACAGGCGTGTTGCGGCTTACCTTTCTGAATCAGCTCATGTTGTGCCAAATAATCCTTGAGTTCACCCACATCCTCTGATCGTTGGCATTTTTCCAACAGCTGTTTGGCTTGTTCTATATTATCTGAAAACTTGTTTTCATGAAATAAATTCGCAAAGCGTCAACGTTAATCATACAGCGATGCGCGTTGATACGTTCGTAAACAAAACCACTGTTCCGCGTAAAATCCAAGTAATATTTTAAAACGTCGTGTGAAAGCGTACCCACACACAAGATTTCACGCACCACGTTACAACACCAGAGTGACCGGATACTACCTCGCGGTTGCGCCGTGCAGTTCTTACACGTGGGTTTCTATTGTGTTGCGCGTGTTTGGCACAGTGTCTGACGTTTCACTCCATGTGCCGGCATATTCTTCAGCAGCTGAATGTATACACGCCCCGGTGTGCAATCGAGTACTCCGGTTTTTTTCCCACATGCAGCCAAACACCCAATAATCCTCTCAAAAAACAATCTTGAAATTAGGTTGATGAGCAAAGAATCACACTTTTACTGTTTGGCCAAATACTAAACACTGTACTTCATTTAAGTGTTCTGCGAAATCGAATTTGAGGCCAAACAGTCGTTGCTTTTGATTCACCTTTTCAAGGCACTGGAAATATTCCAATTCAAGTTCTGAAGAAGCTCCCAGCACATGGAATGAAACGTCAGACATCACGCAGGACAGCATGCGGTCGAGTTTGGAAGCATGCAGTGAGGGCTATCGCAGAGTACCAGAGGTGTGGACTCGAGTCATGTGACTTGGACTCGAGTCAGACTCGAGTCATGAATTTGATGACTTCAGACTCGACTTGGACTTGCATAACAATGACTTTGTCCCACCTCTGAGGTGTGGACTCGAGTCATGTGACTTGGACTCGAGTCAGACTCGAGTCATGAATTTGATGACTTCAGACTCGACTTGGACTTGCATAACAATGACTTTGTCCCACCTCTGCAGAGTACTGTGAGTGAGCGAGGACGCGTCTTGCAATACCAAACCTCGTCAGCCGTTTGAAAGAAGTCCACAGCTTGGCGGAGGAGGGCCTGCCTGCTATGCATCAGCGTGCTCAGCTGCACCCAGGCGAGCCTGAAAGATTGGCCCAGGGCATCGGAGGTCTGCGTTGTCCCTCCCTCCGACCCGGCCTCAGCATCGACGCCTTCCAGGAGGTGACATACATCTGCCTCGCGTTCCTGAAGCAGCGAGTGGTCAGACAGTGAAACACCAAGGGAACGTGTATACACGCATTGCGAGAAGCCCACGTCATGAAGCGAATAACTTCTGCAGCGGTTAACATGCGAAAAGTTGCAAGTAATTACTAAACGAGCGTAATTATCGCATCCAAATCACCATATTTTCATGAGATTTAATATATATCTCCGAAACTAAGTGTGATTTTTACTTGTATGGGTGACTACCAGTGGATTGCCAGGTGTTGTAGATGCGGGGTTGGTGAGGTATAACCAGTAGATGACAGTGATGTTATCCTCTCAGGAGGATCCATTTTTTGTGGGAAGTCCAGTTTCCTCATGAAGCCAAACACTCGTGGATGGATTTAGGACAAACATCCCAATGCAGGGCCCTCCTGAAGGGAGTCGTGAAATCCAGCAGAGTTGCAAAGAATAGCACTCGTTTTACTAATTACCAAATGATAAATACTTTACCTCATCTAAAGTATTTTACGAAATTGGAATTGGAGCTGAGTTGTGAGAGAAACCAAAGAGGATATATGATGGGTTCATTGACCTCAGGTCCACACATAATGCAATGTGCAAGCAGAATTTTGACTTACATTAATTACATCGTTGGCACAATTTTATGACATTCCCAGACGTTGCAGGAGTTGTCCACACCTCGTCAGAATACGCGTGCATGACGGTAAAGCAATAAAGCTACTACACCTCTCCGATTGACTTCTCGCAGACACTCCTGGTGGAAGGGCTTCCACTCGAGGGAGCTTTCGAGAGCCTCATCTGGAGAATTTGGCCTACTCTTCCACAATAGTCAGGTGTATTGGAAGAGATGGAGGAAGCCACACTTTACCCCACCAAACGTGACCTGAATGATCGACTAACTGTGGTGATCCATAATATAGGTTTTTGGTAAAAAAAATATATATATTATGAATGATATTGGTCGCGAAAGCCGCCTACGTGTTAAACTAACTGTGGTGATTTGAAGCTTTCGTGACTGCAGGAATCCATTCTCTTTGGTTCTTTCGGTAAAGTCACGTAGGTATAAAATAAAATAAATCACGACGTTTCGGGCGCAACACAAGCGTCCGTCATCAGGTGATCAGAGGGAAGTGGGATTTTGATTAACTTGACCATCTTTCAACTGCCACACCGGGAGCTCGAATCAAACCAGCGACCTCTGGACATCTGTGAAAAATAACTTTATAGCTCATCGAATTCCTCCATTATAAATAAATGTTTTGATTCTGAATTCCAGTGTGTTAACCACTACACCAGGGCAGCATCGCCCACGTGCACATAAATAATGGTCCTATGGTGAGACCAAAATATATGTGCATCACACCTGGCCACAGGTTATTGTCATCACTGAATACCTTCAGCTTAACTTGCAATGCACGGTGATCCTCCAGGAGCCTCTGAGCCTGCCCCAGGGTGGTTCCAAGCTCCAAAAGGCAAGGATGGGCCACAGCCAACTGAAGGCCAGCCCAGTCTCCAGACTACAGGCACATACGTAGCATGACAAACAGATACACGAACGCATTTCAGATGCAGCAAAGTTACGTACCCAAACATGATAAATTCTAATTGAATATATAGCCCTTGTTCAATCCACTGCAAGTTACGGGCGTAGTTTGACCATACTTCACCATGGTGATCAGTGCGAGGTGGTGAAGGCAGGGGTGTGATGCCCAAGACCACTTCAGATATCGTTCGTCACTGATGTTTCTCATAGTCAGAAATCAAACTCATTGATCTGGGCCCATTGTGCAGTGTGATAACTACTGTGGTCGAAAAAAAATATTCTTGTACGTGTATATTGTATGCTGTGCTTGTGACTAAATCAACTGCAAGTTGCCCAATGTCACAACGGGTGTTGTGTACAGTGGAGTTCATGGACTCAGCCCGGTCACCAATGACCGTGCACACAAAAAATGACTCAACCATATAATATTTGGGTTTGCTCTGATAATTCTCTGCCCTGAGAATATACAATAGCAGTGATGGATATCTGAATTTGTCCTGGGCCTCCCCTAGGTCGACTTAGCCTAAAATGAGTACCTGGTGCGGTGTGCGTAAAACATCAGCACTGGGAATACAAACGTGGCCAAACGTGCGTGGTGCTGGCTACCCACTCCCTCGTGTGCCTTGCCGGTTTTCATAGGTATTCGCTAACAGCACTTGCCCCAACAATCTGTTAAGGCTATACAGCGAATCTTTTTCTTGTCTTCTGTGCAGTTAAAGCAAGGCTTGCCATTGGGTTTAACCGGTGTGTTTATGAGAAATACAACGCACCCATTCATTTAAGCAGTATAAACGCCTACATGTCTATGGGAAACATAAAAATGCATTCATTTACATACATACGTACGTTACAGTAAACGTATACAAATCTATAAATTAATACACTTTATTTGGTGATACTGCATTGTCAGTAGTGCACAGGCCCTATTAACAAAGAAACTCAACACACTCATCAAAATCACTGCCTTAAAAGAAAAAAGTATAGCCATATATAAAATGGGCAACATTTTAGCCAAAGGCCCTTCTTCGTGGCACATGAACAGAGTCCAGAAAGATCGAGTTAACAGTAGTTGGAGGCTGCACTAAAACCCATGGTGCCTGGTGAGAATTAGATATTTTTAAAAAATGTTGCCAGTTCTTAAATTGGCAAATAGTAGCTACTTAGTATTGGGTATTTGGCCTCTCTGTGTACTATGAAAAAGGGCAATTGCAAGAAACGTTACTGATGATATATATTTTAAGGCAGTGTGTGTTGACAAGTGTGTTACGTTTTTTGTTCAACATATACAGTTGTGCATATTTAAAATAATATTTATAACAGTATCTATTCATTTATTTTAGCTAAAGAAACTATTACTTCAAGACCGACATCACACATTAGAACAATCGTCTTAAATCCCAACTTTGACATGTATCCTGCCCAGAAAATACTGAAACACAAAAACACGTGTAAACATGGGAAAATAATAATGGACAATAAATTGCCAAAGATTTGATCGGTATGACTTTGCATCTTATCATTTTCAAACAGATAATTGGTAGAAAATGTTATAAGAAGTTCAACAGCATACCGAGTATGCATGCAAATAAAATAAACAATTTATGTAAATGCAGTGTACAAATATATTATTAATCTAAATTAATCATACAGTCAATTAGTTACCAAAGATACACGCTCATGCCCAACTTTGAAATTCAGCTAAACGTCAATTAGATGTTTTTCGTTTGTTCGTTTAACGCTGCAAACAGAAAGCACCGCGGTAGCAATAAACTTGTCCGCATTGTCCGCGACGGTGACCTTTAGGATGGCGACGATGACCTGCGACCCTCCCGCCCGCACATCTATGGAGCCGGCGGGGGTCTTCGGGATCTCACGCTGCGCCATCTCCCGCGTCGCGCGACGTGGAAGGAGCCTTTGTTCCATGAGAAGTGCCGGGGGCCACTTCTGCTCCGGGGCATGTAGTCAACGTGGCGCTCTCGCCATTGCTTCGGGACTCAGTGCTCATCCCACAACCCCCCCCCCCCCCGACTGTCAGCAGAGTGAATGAAGAACGTCTAGGTGAAGCCGGTGGGGGTGAGGAGGAGGAGGGGGGGGGGAGCAGGAAACAAATAGGGGAGCACGAGGCAGCGGTGACTGGGGGGGGGGGGGGGGGGTAAACATTGGACGCAAAAATAGCTGGAGCCACTTCGTCACTTTTTATCGACCGCCGCTCTGGAGATGCTGCCTGGTGCCTAGTTTGGTGGTGGGTTTTGCCGCCTCGCCATGCCACCGCCGGGCTCCGTACCGGTGCGCGCCGTCCGCTGAAACGGCGATGCTACGCAGTGCCGGATTATCCTAGCAGCAAAAGTAGCTACATGTGTAGTAGCTACGGGCCCCGCACTTTCAAGGGCCCCGCGCTAAATGCTTTCAAGCCATCATTTCCGGTTCAGTGATTCTGCACTTGCTCTATTACTATAGTACTATACCGCCTTCAACTTTTACGAACGACTGGGTGTTTAAGGTTAGCGATTTGTCGTATTATCTGGCTGTATAGCAAATTAAAAATACAATTATTTTACTATGCAAGTACAAATGTAGTGTTTTAATAGTTACGTGTTTTTTATTTTTATTTAGGGCCCCTTTATAACATATGCTACAGACCCCGCACTAGCTTAATCCGGCACTGACGCTACGGTGTGCTGTATGCAGAAAAAATGCGCTTTCTTGAAAAACAATAAGAATTGCACGGACGTGTACGTTTAAAGTCTATTCACACTTATAAATCACTATTTTGGACAACAACATTTCTTTCGAGTGTACGTGCAATTGATCACTCTGCTTTGCGGACTTGAAGTTATAAAAAAAAACAAGTTGTATGTGATGCATTCTATGTGCCTTGTATTTCGTGTGCTGGCTGTACCATGATGTTGATGCACGACCTTGTCACGTGTAACTTGACCCTGTATCGTTGTTTTTGGATTGTTTTATTCGTGGGGGGAGGGGGGGTGTTGGTGTAGCAACCCGGTTTCTGTAACCAGGTCTCCATCGAAAATGAGCATTTATTGCCTAATGGATGTTACCTGGCCCACAATAAATATAACCCGAAGGCCTCATCTTTACCGACCTCTGGTTAAGTGGGAACTTTCTGGACACAGCAAATTACCTCACGTGGTCACCTTCCTGCCATGGTTTGTGACCTATCGATGAAGTTTCCTTTACCGAACCGGGTTAGCCTCACACCAAGCATCGTCAATGCAGTAGACGGAACATTAGAAACAATGAAATGATTTAAAAAATCTCATAATTATCAATCCGCTGTCAATCTATTGCTGGATAAAGGCCTCCTCACACAGCGTTGATCACGTGGGTCGTTTGACCATACTTCACCACACTGGTTAGTGCATGTTAGTGAAGTGCAGAGTTGGCAATGAAGGTGGGCCCGGGGCTGGTTCGGATATCGCTCACCGATGATGCTAGCCATGGGTGGGAATCACTCTCACGATTCAAGATTTGTGGCATAGTGCGTGAGCCACTGCACCACTTCTCCTCCCAATAAAAAAGACAGTGCCTGTAATAGATTGCGTTTATGTTATGTCTAGGCAATGGAATATGACTGCAGATATGCCAGCACGCACTAACAGTTACAATGAGGATTAGTGGATTTGGTGGATCAAGTATAGACAGAGCTGAGGCAGCAACTTGCAGAAGAGCAAGCAGGTTTCTGTCACATCTCCATATTATTCTCGATATGCATATGTTTTCCCAAGGAATTTTTATGCAAAAATATATCCAAAAACTGAAACACTCCAAAGCAGGACCCATCTATCAGGTGGCCAGGGGGTGGCAGTACAGCAATCTATTCCTGAATCCATTTGTGTTGAGCTGTCTTATCCACTGGTAATGCGTGGGTTATCTCCACAAGTTCTGGTCTCCTCTCGCCGTGCCTAAAAACATCATGGAATATTGCCAAACGTCACAAAGCAGGCCTCTGATGTGTTTTCGGGTCGTACCGCGCGCTGTTCGGGACGATGTCCGACGTTTTTGCTCGACGTGCTGCAGGAGCTTCTTTGGGAACTGAATTTGAAAAAAGAGCAGCCCCCAGCACCTGAAGTGAATGTCGGACACAATGCCAAACAGCGGACCGATGCAACTCGAAAACTAAGAGCTGTGCAGCAGAGCCACAAAACAAACCTGAGTAGTTGCATCCAAACGCAGGGTCCTTCCTGACGGAAGGAGTTATCTGTGTACTGAGGCCTTTCGTGGATAAATGAAGTGTATCCCATCTGCCAAAGTCACGGTATTCAAGGTGAGGCTTTCCTGAGTTAAAATAGATACATACATGTCGCGATTATAACACTTTTGCTGTAAATAGCCGGCATGCTTTTTTTTTTATCTGTGCTTCATTATCACACCCAAGACGGCACATTGTTTCCATCAACGAAAAAAAAAGACATGGGAAGACCTTGGTGGAGGTTGGGTGGGTGGGTGGGGAGGAGGGTTGGGTAGTTTTTTTTCCCCCAACAAACCAAGATATAAATAGGTTTGCAGGGCCCTGCTGGATAAATCAGGGAGCAGTACGAGCGGTGGTTTATCAGTGGTATGTGCAGTCACAGGGGTGTCGGTGACGTCTGAGTGTACCGAGGATCGGAGATCATGGCTTCGCAATCTGTCACGGGCCAGATAGCAGTCGACGTGGCGGCCATTTGGGAAGGCCCGTCATCCAGCAGTGGATTGACCATAACTGACAATGATGAAGTAGCAATTGAAAAAGTTCACGAGGATGAAAAATAATACTGTGATGAACCAATTGCATTGAGTCTCAATGAGAAATGGGCTGTCGGGGGAGAAATTTGTGGCACAGTGGTTTGTGAACATCAAGCGGCGAATAGCATCTGTACCTAGATTATTTGACTGCTATAAATGTCCACTTGATATGCCACTTCGTTGAGCTGTCATTTGTGGCAATGTCGCTTCTGAAAAAAACACCTCATAGTTCAGTGGGCTTTTCCTGGTAAAAGAAACATGATTTAGTTTTATTTGTATACTAGTCCATGAAGCCTGTCTTCACCAGGCAAACGTTTTCAATAAATATTATAACCTGATATGATTTTTTTACAATTTTTATCTACGACCAGACACTAAGAACTTCTCCAAAAATGCGTTTTTCCACAAAAAACACAAACATTGTTGACGACTTGATTAAAATTCGTATTTTTAAAGAAGTACCCATCAGAAACCGATAAATTTAAATATTCCGTTCTTTTTAATTAGAAAGAACAAAAAAGAATGAACTTAATACTCTATGAGAGGAAGCTCCTATCTTGTATCGCTTTTAAATTATTCAGATTTGAAGATCATAAAATGCGTATTTTTTCATTCAAACCCGCTTTAATCCGAAATATCTAAAAAACAATAAAAGATAGAGCAATGGTTCTCACTTTCATTTATTTGCTGCTTAAGGCTCTATCAAAGGAAAAAACGCATTCTTATATTTGGAACAGTTTCTGAATGACACGCACAGACATGTTTATGGTGCACGTAAAATCGAGATTTGGTGGTCTTAAAATTAAAAATCTCGGACTTTCATATGTTTCCAGTTATTTGTATCCTACAGATTTGTTCCAAATTTCAGCTTTCTACCCTGTCGGGAAGTAGCCTATACATACAGATTAAGCTCTTTATATAGATGTATTTTAGTGACTTGCTTACCCTTCCTATACTTTGCAATCCTTTCGTGTTTTTGTAATGTTTGTTGTAACGTTCTGAACCGCCCCTACTGGACATCTGTTTAAAAAAAGAGCTTAATAGCTCATCGGATTCTTCCAATATAAATAAAGATTGTGATTCTGTACCTGGGTCCTCATTCTCCCCCTCGTCAACCCCTCGTGACCGGCACGGTGAAGAATGGCAAAATAACCCTTCACAAATTACACGGTATTGGAAGGCCGTCATCCAGAAGTTGATTGGCAAAAGGCTGCAAATATTTTTTTGTATGGAGCAATCTTTTAAAATATTACAGGATAACACACTTTATGTAAAGGCAATACAATATAAGAGGTTCAAAACTTAAAATTATCATGTTCTGCATGGCGTAAACTGTCAATAACACCTGAAAACAAAGTGTAAGAAAACAAACATTACTGTACTATTAATTTGCCAGCCATAGCTTAGAATAGCGAACTACACACACACACATATATATAATCATGATGCAGATGACCTATGGAAGAAATGCCACCAGTAAAATGTATCTATTTTGAACTTCTTTTGCACTGCGCAGAGCCAACCGTGCTGATCGGATGTGCGTGAGAAGAAAACACACTAAACATAAAAAAACAGCTCTGAAAATAATCAGTGTTCAATCTAGATTTAAAGGTGCATTGCTCCCGTACTTTCCGAATCTAAGTTGCAAAAACACCACATTTATCCAGTTCTGTTTTTAAAATCTTCGACCCAAGCCAAGCACTCTGCAATATCCCATCCACACACACACACGCATACTGACACGTGCATGCATTGTCCAGAGTGTGAACAGAAACGGCTGGAATTGATCCATGTCCCCTAAGCGCAACATCTATTGTTAGACAGTCCAAAGGTGAGATCTGGGAGGGCATTAGCAACCTTGAGGACTTGCCAAACCAGTGAAATACATGGCATTGGTACATGCCAATTAGGCTGTTTCAATTGCACTTAAATAAGAATTACCTTTTTGTATTGAGGAAAGCTGAATTTAGTATTAATACTCTTTTGTAGGAAAATTGTGCTATGAGAAGATGTATCAATTCTATTTAGTGCTTGGCTTGTGGATGGAACCTGAAGTAACTGGAGAAAACCCAGCCACGCACACGAGGCTCGTGATGGAGTGGCGGCGAGAAAAGCAAACACATCCAAGAGAGAGACTAGCGTGCAGGCAGAGGTCATGTGCAGGCGATGGTTGTGTTGTTTCTTGATGTAACCTGCTGACCCGCCCCTACTGGACACCTGTAAAAAAGAGCATTCATAGCTCATCGGATTCTTGCAGTCTAACTAATTATTCTAAATTTTTATTCTGTTATAACATTGGGA